TGTTCACACTATTAAACTAAAAAATGAACCTTAATAACCAGAGCAAAAAGGCATTAACAAAATAGTATTTTGCAAACTTCAAATTACAGATTCTCTGTGGCTCTCTCAAGGCTCAGGAGGAAAGGAAAAGCTTATTCCTGAAGAAGGTGAGTAGAGAAGAGTTTAAAAAATGGTTCCAGGGCCTCCCCGATGGCACAGCAGGTTAAGCACAGCTCTCTGAAGCTGTTTGCAGCATATGCAGCACAGGTTCGATTCCTGGCCGGTCAGGGAGATTCCCACATGGCGCGGCAGACCTCTCTTGTCTCACCCACTGCTCCTCTCAGAGGTGTCTTTCGTTCAGTCTGCCTGTTCTGCTCTCTGCTCTGTCTCTGGTGAATCCTCTCACCCTCCTGTGCCTCTGGCCTGTACCCCAGCTATTGTATAAATTAAAAATCAAAAAAAAAAAAAAAATGGTTCCAGCGGGTTCCACTGCTGATTAGAGGCAGAGTCCAAGTTCAGTGTCTGCCGGTTGACTCTCACACTAAGTCCACACAGTTCATTGCTTTACTCAATTCATTCACTCCAAATCAATTACGAGGCCTCAGGGACAAAGGACCTGACCTGCATTGGCAACAGCCGTGACCTAGTTTGGGAGTGAGGGTGGGGGCAGAGGTCAGATGAGGTGTGAGTTACTGCAAGAGCAAGACTGGGAGAGGCCTGAGTACAAACCCCAAGAATAGGTAATAACCGCTTGTCCTTCCTTTTCCAGCAAGTGCCCCCTGAGCTCCTCACATGAAGCTTGATTTGTTTTTAGCGGTCAAGGTTGTTCTGGCTGTCAGGGCTCTAGACATGCTCAGGGCCCCTGGCACTTACCTGTGGGGTGATCTTACCCCCACACTGTCCACCAGAAACAAGCTACAAGTCACAGCTGTAATTTCAAATGTTCTCATTGTTGCACTACAAAAGGTAAAAACAAAAAAGTAAATTTAATTTTCATTCATTTTATTTAACCCCGTATTTTATTGAACACAGTATATCCAATATGCCATTATTTCAACAAGGAGACAACACAACCATTACTCGTGACATTTTGCGTTTTTTCATGCCAAGTCTTTGCTCTCTGGTGTGACTCTTACATTTACCGGCACCTGGATCTGGATTTGGAGGAACCACATTTAAAGCCTGTGTAACCATGTGTTGCTGCGGCAGGAAACAGAGAACATCTAGACTTTGCATATAAACAACAGATAAAAATGTGAAGATAAACAAGATTAAAAGCAAATAGTTCACATCTACCTATCCTAGCTTAGCAGTACATTGTGGGTTTTTCATAATCTGACAACACAAATTGAATAGAAAAGCAGTAAGATGGTTTCCCGTATTTTTGTTGTTGTTGTTGCTGTTGTTGAGTATTTTCTTTTTTCTCATTTTTTTATTTTAACATTTATCATTTTTTACATTTTTTTTAGACAATATTTGCTTCCCCCACCCCCTCAGATTGAGCTTTTATACTTAATTTCACAGGAAGGAACACACTTAAATAGCTGGTGTTACGAGTGCGCCATCTAGTGGCTTCTTGTTTGCGTTGTTGAAGCCGAGTTTGGGGAAAAGGAAGTCCTGCCAAGCAACCCCGGCCAGATTCCGAGCTCCTTTGTAGAGGAGCTGTCCCTGCGTGCAGTGTTTTGGGCAGTCCCCAGCCCCATGGAAACGCTAAACGTAGGTGCAGGATGACGCCTTTGCTAAAGGCAAAGCCAGGCTTGAGTGCTTCATGTTAATGCAGGGCATGCTTCAGAGAAAAGTGTGAGGCTGACTCTGAGAAAAGACCGAAGGGAATGAACACATTGATATTTCAGCAGCAACACGAAAAAGTAAGTGCCCACGAGTGACAACCGAGCTACTACGGGACCACCAGTAATGGAACTAGAGTGAAAAGTTTGGTAGCTCCTCAAAAAAAAGAATTATATCTGGAATGAACCGCATGGCCCAGCAATTCCACTGCTTGGTAAACCCAACATAATGAAAAACATGTTCAGACAAATTTGTATAGAAGTTCACAGAAGTTTTTATTCCTAATAGCTCCAAAGTGGAAACAACCCAAATTCCACCAATTGTTGAATGGATAAACAAAACGTGATCGCTTCTTACGGCGGGATATCATTCGGTTAGAAAAGGGCATGAACCATTTGCTCAGGCTACATGGTGAAGGATCCTTGAACACGTTAAGAAATAAGACACAAGCGGTCATCTAGTGTATTCCATTTATATGATATGAAAATTCTAAGAATAAGGAAATCTATACAGACAAAAAATATTAGCAAGTGCCAGCCAGAAAGTGGGGGTGGTGGGTGATGAATATTTTTTAAAATCCTGCATTTTATATTTTGAAGTGGTCAATCTCATGCTACATTTTGGGCCTTAAAAGGCTCAAGACCAGCAGGTCTGAATAGTAAGAAAATTTAGAGACAGTCCTTATGTTCTATGTGTGTGCATGGATTTCTCTGCAAAGGCATAGAGACCAGAAATCTATGGGTAAGTATATTATGTAAATCTCTCAGATGATAAAGAAAAATAATGTAACACAGATGTGACATCATAATGTAAATATATATAAATGTATAATACAGTCTTAGAGGGAAGACGCAGAAGCAATATCATATATGTAAACGGGCATATCATTTGAAGCTAGACTCAAAAGTTACAGAAATACAAATGCCAAAGCAACTAGAAAAACAAATTAGTTACAGCTAATTAACTATCAAATTTGATTAAAAGGAGATAGTTGTTCCTCAATATACTTAGTGATTTTTCCACTTTGTGATAATATGGAAAATTATTCATTCACTAAAAACTATATGATATCAGACTCTTGCAAGTCACACAGCATTCATTCATCATTTTTGACTTATGATTGTTTTCTCAGGAGGTTATCCTATCATAAAGCAAGTAGAGAAAGAGAGGAAATTGGCACAAAGAACAGATGGAAAAATAAATGTTAAGATGGTAGAATCTACCCATGTCAATAGTCACATTAACTGAAAATGGTAAAATCACCCCAATTAAAAATCAGAAAGCATGGAAATGTAAAAGTCAACACTTAAGCTAGAAAAACAATACTTCAAATATAAAGAGTTAAAAGTAAATGGATGAAAGGGCTATACTAGGCAGACAATTAAAAACGACAAAAAGCTGGGGTGCTTATTTTCATATTAGACCATGTAGATTTCGGAGTGACTATATTATCAGGGATTAAAAGGGCATTTAAAAATGATAAGGGGGGTTATTTTGCCAAGAGGACATAACAATACTTTTTGTACAGCTAGTCATTTATACAGGACCTCAAAATACTTAAAGCAAAAACTGATAGACTTATGAAGATACAGACAAACCCATAATTATAGCTGGAAATTTCAATAGCAATCTCTCAATAATAGTACAAGTATATGAACATAGAAACTATGAAAAACACCATTAACCAAGTTGACACATTGGGCATTTATAAGACATTACGTTAAAGAACAGCAAAATTTATAATTTTTTTGTGAACATGAATTTTGTACCTCAATAGATCATATTCTTGGAACATAAAGGTCATTAAATTTTGAGATTCCAGTTGAAAGTATTTTCTCTGATCACATCACAAAAAAATTAGAAATCATAGCTATCTGGAAAACTCCAAATACAATTCTAAATAGCCCACAGATCAGAGGAAATAACTAAAACTTACGAATGAAAATAAAAACACTACATATGATAATTTGCCATATGATATGCCGTTCAAACAGAATTTGTATCTCTGACATGTCCCCCACAAAAGGTCAAACCAATGATTTCAGCTTCCACCTTGAGAATGTAAAGAAGAGCAAATTAAACCCAAAATGAAGAAAGTAAGAAAAAATTATATGGTAAAAGTGAAAAATCGATGCAATCAAAAACTGCTTACTTGAATGTGAGACACTTCTTCTGACTGGTCAATAAAATGAGACCATTTTACCAATATTTGAAGTGAGATGACTGAAGGGATTATAAATAGGCAGGAAACATTTGGAGGTGATGGCCATGTTTGTTACCTTAATTATGGTGATGGCGTCTTGTATGTCACAATATCGAGTTACTTTTCCTGTTGAGTCAACTTTACCTCAATAATGCGGTTTTTAAAAAACCTGTTAACATTGGTTTTACTCCTTTAAATAAAAGGCAAACCCACAAATCCACTTGTTAGATCCGCTACATGAGGCTTTTACTGAGTAATGAAGGGCAAAAGCTCTTAAGCTTTTCTGAGGTCCTGCTGAAGATGCACAAGGTCCACCCTTGTATAGTTAGAAGACTGAATTCAGTTAAAAATTTTTTAGTCTTAATTGAAATGAAAATAGATTCAACTTGAGCACTAGTAAAGATGTCCTTGTCCTGGCCTCCTGTCATTAGCAAAAAATATTCTGCAGTCTACATTTTTCATTCTTTCAAGTATCAATTGTTCTGTGGCTGTTAAGCCCATTATACAATTTAACACATCACCAACTGTGTTTTATGGTCTTGTATTGAATCATCTCAAGGTGCTTATTTTAAGTCCCAGTTCCACAACTAAGATATGGGGAGTGGACAGAAAACTACGGTCAGAGTAGTCTGGGAATCCCGTAAGGTCCCAGGGAGTGTAAGAGGCACCCAAGCCTCAGATGTATGTGGCTCTACAACTTGCTAATTCAGCTGTTTAAAGATTTTACTTATTTTTGCACAGATGACTAGGGTGTAGGCCAGAGGTACCAGGGGGTGAGAGGATTCAACGGATAGTGGGGAGCAAAACATGTGGATCTACTGAAATACACTGCTGAGGGGAGCAGTGAGCAAGACAGGCGAGGTCTGTTGATTCAAGTGGGTCAGCTCCCTGGACTAGATCTAATTAACTCAGGCGACAGGGGTGATAATGCCGATACTTAACCCCTAGGCCACCAGGGAGGCCCCTAATTCAGCTGTTTATGGGATTAAAATGTTTACCAAAATAAAAACTTCACATTATTAAACTTGTAACAATTTTATTCATAACAGGAACAAAATCTTACTTGTACACATGACAGACATACTCACATAAAAAGAGAAATATTTGTGTATGTACAAAAATATTAAAATATACAATCTTTACAAATAAGGAAACAAGGACGATTTCACAAAGAACACTTTTTTTGGTGGAAACGTACACACTGAAAAGAGGTTTTAAGACGACAAAACATTTAAATTAACAGACTCCAGAAGTTGATATTTCAATTGGCAAGGTAAATAAAATCCTCAAAAGCTATAGATGGCAAGCAAAATTTATGTTTAACACTGTCCAGGTAAAACTGTATGGTCTCCCACTGCCATAAAATTTAATGAGTTTGTTTTACCTTTTCATTACAAATAGCACACAACTAGTTTTTCTTTTTTTCTTAAGTGATACTTTCTTATTTATACTGAAAATGGTAAACTTTTTCACATTATATTGTAAAATACTTAAGAGGTAATGTATTCCATTTGCTGAGGAAACCATCTCATGTACAATATTAACTTCAACATAAAAACGAATTGCAAAAACACACTTGTTTTTAAAGTTAAAACCTACATTTTCTAACTAACCTTCATGATTAGTTACAATCGATTTCATAAGAGATCACAGTCGCCGTAAATTCTTCTTGCTTTTTTTAGTGCCAGGCAGAGGACCCATTTTATAACTGGCTTTTAGGGGTTTGCCATTCGAACAGTCTCTGTTGGTGTGATAACTACACAGACACTTTGTACAATAGTCAAATCCACAGCCTTCTCGTTTGCAGGTTGCTCGTTGTAAAAAGCAATCGAATTTTGCAGGTGAATTACAGCGAATACAGGCTTTGAGGCTTTCATTGTTTTTCAAAGTCTTGGCAACCTAGAAAGAAAATCCATGAACAAATTTTAGTAAGGACTACATGTAATTTAGTCAAGTGTACCTTCCCCAAATACATGTAGTAAAGTACTCATCATGAATGTTAATCACTACCATTGTCTAATTTAAATGCCACCCTTTCTATGAGGTCTTCCTGGCAGCATTCAAGAGTTGATTGCTCGTTTATCTTAGTTTTATCTTTAAAGCTAGAACTTACAACATTGTATAGCATTTTTTTTTAAGTTGTCATTTTCCATCTTAGATTATAAGACTATGAAGGTATCCATATTTTCTCATCTACACAGTACCCGATAGCAGAGGATCCATAAGTGCTTTTTGGATAAATGTGCACGCTCTGGTCATTGCATCACGAATATTTAAGACAGAGAACCAAATCTTTAAATATATATACAATTTATATTTATTTGCCAACATATGACAGTCAACATTTTCTTTCAAAATATACACACTTAAGATTATAATTTTCAAAATTTAACTTGCAAATTCTCACAAATGAGTAGAACTTATGATACACATTACCCAATGATCTGAAGGGAAGGAAGCCTCCAGATTCTGAAAGCTGGCATTTTTGTGCTTAGCTCTCTTCCTCAGATATTATTAAAGGCAGCAATTGCAAAATGTAGTATTGGAGTTTTATAAAAATATTTAAAACCAAGGGCCTCTTCTGGTGGCGCAGTGGTTGAGTGCTGGGCTACGGAGTTGCCCACAGCCTCTGCAGCGCCAGTTCGATCCCCGGCCACCAGGCGAGGGTTCCACATGGCGTGACAGACCTCTCCTGCCACCCGCTGCTCCCCTCAGCAGTGTATTTCGGTCCATCTGCCTGTTCTGTTCCCCACTGTGGCTCTGGTGAATTCTCTCACCCTCCCGCGCTTCTGACTATACCCAGTGCTTGTATAAATAAATAAATCTTAAAAAAAAAAAAAATCAAAACCAAGAAGGTTCTCCATTGTTTTCTTAGCTTCTAAATTAGATCACATCACTACTCAACTTTCAAAAGTGCAAAGTGGCATTTGTTACATGCAGCATAGACATTTTTATGTCCTTTCCTAGTTTTGACTGTTAAGTTATAAATGGTTTGATTTCCAACATTTCTAAAAGTAGAATAAAAAGGACAAAAAATAGATTTCCACCACTAATTCCCTAGTGGTTCTAATTAATGCCATAATTTAAAGCTCTTTTACTTCAACCCCATTCAATAAATGCTGCATATACTTGTAAGCTGATAAACAAATTACCTCAGAGAATTCATCGTGTCGACTGTAAGTAGTACCTTTCTGATCAACTGGATTGGTTAACTTTGTTCGAGCATCTTTTTTGGGGAGAGTCTGGGCTGATTCCTGAACAGAAGCTAATTTGGTTCTGCACGTAACATATTCTCTGGTTGAAGCATGTAGTGAAAACTTAGTGTTCTTTTCCTAATTAAAAAAAAAGTTTCAGTTATTCAACAGTCAAACATTTTTATTACTTTTATACATATAAAAATCAACAAGCAACTATAAACCAGAGACATTCTGCAGCAGGGAAGAAGGGAGTAGGATCAAAATAGGGGTGGGAAGTGCACATGGGACTATGGTACACAGGTGAACTGGTGGTGGGAATTTCACAGGGACTATAACTGAGATGAGAAAGCACACACTGTTAAAAAAACGAGTAACGATGTAAAAATTATTTAAAAAATTACTATTAAAAAAAGACAAATGTATAAACCTATTCCTACATCCAGTTTACCTGTACTAGTTTAAACACAGTAATACCCACCTGTTCACAAATATTTAAACCCTAATAATGAAGATACTGACAGTGTACAAAAGCATTTAAGATATCATTTATAAAACACAACAGCCAGAATAAAAAAATTCTTCCCACCACCAGTAGGTGGCAATAGTTAGGTTTCAGTGTCATCTGAGTCATGAATGGATTCAAAACCTTTCAGATTAGAAAATTTTCCTTTGAGAGCAGTTTACAAAGAAACTGAACTTGGAGAATTTAAACAATAAAGCTACAGTTAAGTACAGCACCAAAACCTAAACCTAAGCATGCCCAACTTAGACCTAAACTTTTAACCATCTGATCTAGATTCTTGGAAAAACCTCCAAAGTTTTGAGGTATTTTAAAGCAAATGAATTCCAGTCTACACTAAGAATCTTCAATAAATTGGTAATTACTGTTTATCTGGTAACTGAAAAAAAAAAACAAACAACAAAAAAAAAAAAAAAAACACACAAACAGCAACCATGATTAGCTATCAATATATGGTTAACTCTCACAATCAGAAAACTGAGTAATTAATCATCTCCTTGTTACTTTTGAATATTCTATTTCTAGGGACAGGCCAAGAAATATGACTGGTGGGATTCCTTTACCTTTGAATTTTATTTTCAATGAGTTTTAGTCAGACTGCAATGTTTTGGGAATCAAAAAAATAACCCCCATATCACCTATTAATTTTTTCTATATCTTCCTATTTCCAAAGGTAAAGAACACTAGTAGTTTATATTATAAAATGAAATCAATGCAAAGACTTACAGTAACTCTTTGTATTGCTTTATAGTACAGTTGCAATGCCCCTTTGTCATCTTCTAGAATCTTCTTCCAAGTTGTGCTCACTTTAGACACACTAGAAAAAAACCAATGAAAGCATTATAAAGAGTTAAGATGAACATATTACAGAAACATTAACAATGTGAAAATGACATTTCTACTAGCAGTGCTTCATAAGCCTGGCTCAACATCAGCATTGCCTGGGGGCGCTTGAAGATTTAAAGGGGTCCAGGTCTAGTTATTTGGGTTTAACTGGTCTAAACTGAGGTCTAGGTTCTGTTTTGCTGTTTTCCTAAAGTTGCTGATCAAGTAATGTTTAGTGCTTCCAGGGTTAAGAACCACTGCCTTGTACTTCATTTTCTTTGTGTCTGCAAACAAGTAAGAAGGAACCATTGCACTATGTGGCACCATATTAGCTCCTGGTATAAGATTGTGACAAATCAAATTAGAAAAAACTGCTATTAGTAGAAATTAATTTCAAAATCCCATTATGTTAATAAAGTAGCAAACACGAGATGTCAATTATCCCTCAAGTACCTAGTGAAAGAAAAGTCAATACTTTAATCATAGTGTAAAGTAACACTGCAAAAACCACCGTAGGGTTTTTTTCCCCAAAATGTCAAAAATGCCCAATTAAATTGAATACAATAGTCTGTATAATTACTTTTACCCTTATCGCTACCTCATCCCAATTGATTTTCATTGGTGGAACAAGCAAGAAAAGGTAGTTAGTATGTTTCTAGGAAATAATCTTTTTTTTTAATTAAGATTCTTTTTTAAGATTTATTTATTTATTTACACAAGCACTGGGTACAGCCAGAAGCACAGGAGGCTGAGAAAATTCACCAGAGCCAGAGTGGAGAGCATAACAGGCAGACTGACTACACTGCTGAGGGGAGCGGTGGGTGGCAGGAGAGGTCTGTGCGCCATGTGGGACCCTGGCCCAGTGGCCGGGGATCCAACAGAGCTGCAGAGGCTGCGGGCAGCTTCGCAACCCAGCACTCAACCGCTGCGCCACCAGGGGGCGGTGGGGAGACCCTCTAGGAAATAATCTTAAGCAGACCTGTTTGTTGGTCTCCATATTTTCTACCAGTCAAACCCGGGAGAGCTTTCCTTTGAAAATGGCTTAAGAAGAATTGAATTTATTTAAAATTTTAAGGTAATACAAGTCATAATGCCTACTGGACTTATACACTAGAACTAGGTTGTGGGTTTTAGTTAAGTCAGAGAGATGTAATTTATGTATTGGAAATTCCACAAATAAGAGCAGCAAAAATCCCAATCTAACCAAAACAGTTCTCTATCAGCATAAACACGGAATTTGAAATAAATGGATCAAACGTGTACTTTTAAGTTATCCTTATTTCATTTTAGTTGCACACAGGTAGTAAAATACCAGCCATCAGGCAAATGCTGTAACTTCAAACAACAGTACAAAAGACTACTCCACTAAGTCTTTGCATGAGTGATGGTGCTCACCCATCTAAAAGGTTCAGGATTCTAAGAATACACTCAAGGCAGTAATACTTACTTGATTAAGTCCATATCACTGAGCTGGGCTAAAACAGTTTTTAAGAGATGTCTGAGTCCCCTTCCAAAGAGTTCACTGAGAATATCTACACATTCTAGGCCCATTTTCCTGCCAATTATATTCTGTAGTCTAAAATTTCCACTGGATATAAATTCCTTCAACTTTTCTCGATCTATTTTAGGATTTCGTTTTGTATTCTTTTTTAATGTTGAACAAACCACTTTTGCAAAATGAAGAGCTGGCATCAAGTTTTTGTTGGGATATTGGCATGGGCTTTGAGTCTGTAGCAGGCAAAATTGTGGACTGTCACTGAAATTTTCCTCCAGGGGAAGGATGCCCTGTTCATGTTCATGGAGGCCATTTTGTTGAGAAAATGAAGAATAGCCACTATCTTCACAGGGTCCACTGGTCTCCAGTTCTTCTATTTCATTTGAGCTGTTAAATGTTTGCTGTACATGTTGATTTTCCTTGTTATGTAGGGGCTTGCTCTCATTGTCAAGGTCTACAGTTCTGGTGCTCACAATGGGTGACCCGATATCTGATAACCTTTCATAGTCTTTAATGCAGTCTTTGTAAGAACCTTCCAAATATGCAGGAGTGTAAGAACCTGGTTTTCCACTGTCATCAGGCTTTACCAGTTTAAGTCCAGAATGTACACGGTTACAGTTAAAATCACACTTCATTTTGACAGAAAGCGTGGGATTTTCTTCTTTACAACCTACAAAAAGAACATTATCTACTTAATAACAAAATTCCTACATATATATGAGCATGTATATTAAGACACACTTCTATATCAATTTATAGTTTTATGAACTTGTATTTCAGCATATTAGCTTGTTGCTCAAACTGTTTCAACTTTCACTATTATAAATTGAGGGATTCGGAGCAGAGAAGACATTTGGACATTTTAAAATGATCATTGGCAGCTGTGGAGAATGGATGGTGGGAAGGTGCTAGTGGAAGCAGGGAGGTTAGGCTAGCTAAGCGTCACAGGAGTCCCTACTGCTGAGTACCTGACAAGGAAATGACTACAGTGGATATAAAGGTAATTGGTCATTTAGAGGGTAAGTCAACAGAGCTTGCTAACTTATTAGATGTGGGTGAAGGTAAGTGTAGTGAAAAATACGCACAGGGGTCAAAGGGTCCACTTTCTAGTAGACTAGATGATGTCTAGTCCATGCGACTACTTGTATAGTTTGCATGTTCTGTCCAAGTCTGCCATGAGTTTTCTCCAGGTGACCCCAATTTCCTTCCCCTTCCCAAAGATGTGCATCTGCTAGGTTTATCGGCATGCCTAGATTGTACCAGTTTGAGTGAGTTGACAGAGCCGAGTGCGAGCACACGCATGGGAGAGCACCCTAGGCTGGAAGGGTCTTATGTCCAGCATTGTTGGTTCCCCTCTTGAGTCCTGAGCTAGTAGGCCCCAGCTCTGCAATACTGAACTGGAATAAGTGGGGTGGAAAATGAATGAATACAAATTATTGCTTCATGCTAGAAATAGTTGAGGTCTTTATTTTAGCAGTTTTTGTGACTGGAAATAAGCTACATAGGAACTCACCTCTAGTTTCTACCAATTAATCTATGGTAAAATTGGTTTCACTATTAAGTCATTTTGCTTTGTATAGGCAATTGTGAACATTTTTTAAAAAATAGATACATTCCACACCGAGAATATTACATATTTTCCCTAAAAATCGAATCCAAGTACAAATGAAAATTGTTTTCCAGGCTTCTAACTAGCTTTGAGGCCTTGGAATGTTCTATTAGTCTTTCATTTTCTCTAAAATAGAGATACTAATATCTACCTCATAGAGTGGTCAAGACTCAAGAGACTGCATTTGTAACACCTCTCACTCGCCACCTCCCTGTCCATCATAAAAGTGGAATTCTAGTTAACTGTACCAAGTTTGATGGTCCAATGAATTTTCCAAATAGATCTGACCCTGCATATAAAACAAAGAACCAAAGTTGAATACAGTGCTTAAAAGATCTTCACAGCTACTACAATACTAACTAGTTAAGCCCTACCATCCCTAATGTCTGTGCAACCACCATGTGCCCAAAGGCAGGCAGGGCTGTTTCTGAACTCAAGCATGGAAGAGGCGCGAGGCTTGCAGCCACTCTCTGAAAGGACATTTTACCCAAAAAAACACAAAACTGGTTTGATAAATGGATTTCATGTTCTCCAATTTGCATATGGGGAAAAAAAAGCCCTCACGGAGGTGGCAGCCATGAGGATGAGGCTGGAGGACTGAATGAAAGGCCCCATCTTAAAGTCACCGGCTGCGGCTTCCCAGGATCTTGGGGAACACCCGCCTTTGGGGGTGGGGGGCAGGTTCTCCTGCTCGAGTCTCGTCCTTCTAAAGAAAGGGGCCCCTTCCAGCGATCACCAAACGTCCCAACATCGAGTTGCTCATCTTGCGAGTTTCTGGCAATCCCCAGGACCCCCTGGCCGCGTCCCCAGGGAGCGGCGAGCGGGGGAGCGCGGTTCCCGGGGCGCCCGTCCCTCACCCCGGGGCTGGGGTCGGGCGCCCGGAGAACCCCTTGGGCGCTGCTGAGCCGACCCGCGGGTGCCGCCGCGGCCTTCCCGCGCCCCGAGCCCCGGGCAGCGGGGAGACGAGCCTCTCCCGCCGGGGCGTCCGCGGCCCGGGGCGAGGGTCCCCGTTTGGCGGGAGCGGGCGCCGCGGGGTCGGCCGGGCGCGCCGCGCGGGAGGCGGGAGGCAGGGCCGGCCTCTCCCGCGCCGCCGCCGGCCCGGGCGCCGACCGGGGGTCGCTCCGGCCGAGGCTGCGGGGCCGCTCCGGAAGCGGGGCGCGGGGGGGGGACCCCAGGACGGCCCGCGCCGCCGGCCGGGCTGTCAGAGGCGCAGCCCGGGTGGGGGAGGGGAGGCCTTTGGCGCCCATTCCCGCGGGGCGGGGTGGGGGGCCCGGCGCGCGGGGGGCGCCCCAGGACGCCAGGCCCGCGCCCCGGGGCCCGGCCCTCTGAGCCCGCCGTCCCGCCTCAGCCTCTCGGGGTCCCCCGCCCCGCACCCCAGCTTCTCTCTCCCGGCCCCGACGCCCCCCGCCGCCCGCCCGCCACCCCGCACGGGCCCGCGCGCCCGGGCGGCGGTGGGGCTCGGCTCGCGGGCCCCGCGGCCCCCCGCGCCCCCCTCAGCGCGCCCCTCGAGCCCCCCTCACTCACCTTCCGAGGGGCGCGGGCGCGCGGCGGCTGTCAGGGCGCGGGGGCGGCGCGGGCGGGCGCGGGAGCAGGAGCAGGAGCAGGAGCAAGGCCGTGAGGAGCAGCTGCAGGGGGGGCGGCTCATGCCAGTGGAAGTGGGGTGCACCTCAGGTGGGGGCCCGCCGCCGCTCACGCCCGCCGGCGGCCCTTGCGAGAGCGGTAGCGGCTAAAAGGCGCCAGCTGGTACTTTTAAAATCTTTGAATTTGGTGCCCAAGTCCGCTCGGCCCAATGGGACGCGCCGCTCTCACGCGCGCTCCAATGGGAAGGCGCCGGGCGGGGACTCCCTCAGCCCAGGCCAATGGGAGGCGGCCCAGGGCGGGGCCGAGCGCGAGGTCCCGCCCCCTCGCGGTGGCCGGCGCCGCGCGTCCGCAAAGACGCGGCGGCGCGGGGGGGCCGGGGGCGGGGCCTCGCAGCGCGGGGAGCCGCGGCCGGGCCGCACGTGGAGGGAGCCTACCGCGCCTGCGCGCACGCGCCAAGCGTCCGTCCCGCGTCCGGGCGGCCGGCCTCCGGCGACTCCTGGCTCCATCCTGAGGCAGCTCCGGCGTCCGCTCGACGATCTCCGGCGGGTATGAAGAGCAGCCGACTCTCTCCGAGCTCCTCGCAGGTGGCACTTTGGTGAGCGGCGACTCTGGCCGCCGGGGAATCGAAACTCTCCGGAAGACGCGCCCTCCCCCAGCCCCACTGAGCCCGCCTCTCTGGGATTTAGGCGCGCTCCGCTCTCCGCCCCGCCCCTTTCCGGCCGCTGCTTGTGCGCAGGCGCTCGAGGCGGGCGGGGGCCGCGGAGTTGGCGGGTTGGCGCGTGCGCACTGGGGTCCCGCCGGCTCGCGGGGAGGGGCGGGGCGGGGCGGGACCGCGCAAGGCGGGGACCCCGCGGCGGTGCGTGGCGGGAGGCGCGAGGGCGGGAGGCGTCGCCTGACTCCGAGTGAAAGGCGGTGTTTCTCCAGCCAGCAGTGCTTTGTCCGCGTGTTAAGTTTATTAAACTTGCAGCGACGACTTCTTGGGCTTTTGCTTCTCTGGCTTAGGGCCGGTTGCAGGAGCCGGTCGCCCTCCAGGGGGCTCGAGCGCCTGGAGTCCTGCCCTGGCGCGTCTGGGCCTCGAACCCGGGGCCTCTGGCCAAGGGGACGATTTTCCAGGGATGACAGGACCGGGTGGAAGTTCTGGTGGTTCAGTCTTTGACCACAAACTGTACCGTGTTTCTGGTCCTGCTTAATTTTAAGCTCTTTGAATGAATGTGGACCGAGCTGCTAGCGGGGGCTGCCCTGAGCTCAGCTCTTTTCCTCAGCCCGGTGAGGCCACAGCATGCAAGTTTCAGAAACTTTATTCCTTCCTTTTACAGTTTCCCTTCTCTTGCTTTCTGCAGCCATGAAAGAGTTAATACTAGGCTTATAGTAAATGCTCAGTTAAATTGGTAAATGCTGTGTGAAGCACAGATGGGATTAGGATGAATCCTGCTGCCCTGGGGAATATCGTCCTTATGCAAATCTATAGTTAGTTCATCATGGGTTTTTTGCATTGATTTTTTTTTTTTACGATTTATTTATTTATTTATACAAGCACTGGGTACAGTCAGAAGCGCAGCAAGGTGAGAGAATTCACCTGAGCCAGAGCGGGGAGCAGAACAGGCAGACTGATTGAAATACACTGCTGAGGGGAGCAGCGGGCGGCAGGAGAGGTCTGCGCGCCATGTGGGACCCTCGCCGGCCGGCTGGGGATCGAACCCGCGCTGCAGAGGCTGTGGGCAGCTTCGCAGCCCAGCGCTCAACTGCTGCGCCACCAGGGAGGCCCTGCATTACATTTTTGAGACTGTTTCATTATTTTTCTTCGTTATCGAAATTTTTGCCGTCCTCTTAAATTTTGCACCTGAGTCCTGTGTCTCACCTGCATGATCCCGGTGTTAGATCTTGGAGCTACAGGGTTGACAGTCCAGTGGTGCTCCTTCGGGGAGTTTACCTAATGAGACATATACATTGACAATGAACAATTTCAGTAGGCAAAAGAGAAATAGAACACAAAGTAGAGGATGGGCTGCAAGGGCAATTGGCTAATGACTTCAGGTGGTGAGGAAGGTTTTCTGGGGCTTTGACCAAGATCAGAATGTTGAACTAGCAAGGCAAGTATCTGCATAAGCAAAGGGAAGAGATGTTTCCATATGCATGACTTGTTCCCTGGGATAGAAAGAAATCTAGAGAATTTAGAGCAAGGAAGACTGGGAGATTAGGTCAGAGAGGTAGTAGTACTTCGTATGTTTACTTGTAGAGAGTTTAGAGTTCCATGGCAAGGGACTGATTTGTTGAAGGAATATTTAAAACTGTATTTTTTTATCTTTTAGGCACTTTGTAAATGTTAGCCTTCTCAAAATAATCTTAGCATTATTTTCATTTTGTGACTGTGCTTAGAAGTCTGAATCAATTCCCACAGAACTGCACAGCTGGTTGTCAAAAATTCCAACCCCAGTCATCAGAGTAAGTCCAGGAATTCCTTATATAACACAGTCCTCTGTGTTATACTAAGGAGTAGTATTTGCCGGAGACCTGTTTTACAGGACATCTTTATATTGCTTCCCTGGGGAATATAGTCCTTATGCAAATCTATAATTAGGCTCTTCTCTATTCATCTCTTTTTTTCAGAGGCGGAGAAGTAAATAAAATTTGATGGGAGGAGGGCTTCTCTTTAAATTAATTTAGCACCTAAATTGTAAGCATGGCTTAAAAAGTATTCCCCAGCAGGTTTTTTTTTTTTTCCTTACAGAAAAAGACTAAGGTATATAATTGGAAAAACCAAAATTAGTGTCATAATAGGTTTTATTGCACAGTGGAAGAGTTTGTCAGTTTTTTTTTTCCAGTTTATTTGGTTGTATACTAATGATTTTTAATTAATTGACCTTTAATTGATTATGAGGAAATATTCTTGACTACTAACTTACTTTGTATGTTGATGAGCACCTGTTAATTTCATTTTCAGTGAGAAACCAAAGGGGCCATTCTGAATTTTCCTAGATGTCAACAGATGTATATATACCTCCTTCTTTCAGTATCAGTTAAAATTGTCCGGTTTTAAGGTACAAAATGACAGAGAATTGCCCTCATTGTTTCAACATACTCTTTGCAAGCTATTGTAGGGTATATGGAAATCATTGGCACATGGCACAAGCCTTGGAACCTAGGCCTGTCATGTAACAGACATAGAAGATGTGCACTAATTTTTGGATAAAAGCATCATGGGTCATTAGGGAAGGAAAGAAGGTGTGTAAAAATACGGCTGTAATGGAACATAGGAGGATTTAAATACATCTAGTTATAGTGGGGATTTTTACAGAGCAGGAGTTACTTCTATATGCCCAGATAAGGTAGTGTATTACCTGTTGGACAGGGTTTCTCAACATCAGCACTACTGACATTTTGGGTCGGATACTTCCTTGTCATGGGAGCTGCCCTGTGCATTGTAGGGTGTTTAGCAGCATCCTTAGAGTTAAGCCTTCTATGGCAGAAGCAACAAAATGAGGAAAAGCTTAAATGCAGGTGTGTTTACTAGGAAAAATGAATTTGATGTGACATAAGGATATATCATAGGCACATTTAGGAGCTGAAATTTTGTTTTGGAGGCAGTTGTGACCTATGAAGTTATTGAGCAAAGGCGTGATAAGATCAGTCTTGCTCTTCAGGAAGAGTAACCTGGTGGGTATTTATGTACCCCAAGTTAGAGAGCAGATACAGAGGAAGCAGGGACAACTCGGGATTATTAAAATAGTCTAGAGAGAAGTAATTCTGGGCAGGAGTTGTAATGGACTTGCAGAGAATAGTGTTTAGAAGGAGAGTAGGATTTAGAAACAAATTGCATGTGAGGAAGAGGAATCAATGATTCCTTCATTTTAAATTTCAGAGGGAGAATGGTAGCATTAAACATCTGTTTATGCATCTTCCAATTTTTGTTCTAGCTGTGAGTTTTTAAGATTAACAGGTGGTGTGGGCCATTTTGAATTCAGTTTTGGTTCCTTGTGAACAATACACAAGATTTCTAGACAAATACTTTAAATACAACTGCCTATTAGAGATCTATTAAGTGCCTTCTATACCACATCAGATAATGTAGAGACAAGAACAGAGGAAGCAAGTCTGTTAATGAGATAATGTGGAAGTCTAGCAACACACGTTTAGTCCATTTATTGGCCCACCTTTCCGTATTTCCTCAGTATGCACACAAACCTGAGATAGGAGTAGACCTCTGAGTTTATTACCTTGCCATAAATGTTGTTACACAGGTATTGTAAAGTAGTACAGAATGGCTTGAAGAGCAGTTAATCCTGCAAAGGGGTTAAGGTGTCCTTTAGGGTGTACCTTGAAATCTGCCTGCAGAGGTAAGTGGAAGGTGTTTTCTAGGCAGAGAGGGCAGCATAAGCAAAGGCAGGTAGGAGTGATACTACAGTTTATAATTAAGACAGCAGGGTAGATGCATTGTTTATGCAAATTGCTACAATCTTTGAAGGCCCTTAAAATTTAGACTTAGGGGTTTCATGCCAAAATCATGTCGCTCTACCCTTATCTTTTCTTGCATTCCAAACATTCCATTTGATCACCTGGAATAACTAATTTAGACTAGTGAATGAAGTAGGAGTCAGCTTTAATTCACAGAGCAGAACTTGTCAATTACACCGCCTGTGTTTCTAATACACAATATGTAGCTTAAATTTGTGGTGTTAAAGTTATCTCAGTGTTACGATTTTTTAAAAAAATTGATCAAAGGCTGTTTCCCAATGTCAGTATCACTCTCTCACCTTTTCCCATGGGGCAGGCAGAGCAGAGCAGGATTGTGGGAGAATAATTTTTCATAGATCTCCTTTATTTACTGAAGGAAATCCAACACGGGAGATGTGTGACAATCTCAGTCCAACTTTAACCTGTAAATCAGTCCCTTTATTTTACACAGAAACCAAAAGAATCAAGAGAAAAGTGATAAAACTGTGGGATACGCCCGCATTGGGCCTTAACGCCTATACTACATGATAAGGCGGGCGAATGTGGCGCTGTGCTGTGGAGTTGCTCCCATCACCGAGAGCTGCTCGGGAAGGCGGAATATTACAGGGCTAGGGATGCCCTTCACATTACAATGCTCTGATATATTTGGTAACCTTTGACATTAAATTCTAACCTGTCTTTCATGATTTTTCTACAACACCATTTAAAGGAATGAGAATAAATTGTCAATATAAAATTACTCTTAAAATCAGCACAAGCGGGGACTATAAAAGAAACTTTACAAGGAAAAATTGACTTAAGAGGAGACAGATGACCTGCTGCTAGTTTTTTTTTTTTTTAAAGATTTATTTATTTATGTATATAAGAGCTGGGTGTGGTACAGGCCAGAGATGCGGGAAGGTGAGTGGACCCACCTTAGATAGAGTGGGGAACAGAACAGGTGGAATGACCGAAAAACACACTGCTGAGGGGAGCAGCGGGCGAGTAAGGAGAGGTCTGCTTCACCATGTGGGTTTCTCTCTGGCCGGCCAGGGATCAACTTGTGCTGCAGAGGCTGTGGATTGCTTCATAGTGCGGTGCTTAACCCCTTGTGCTACCTGGGAGGCCCAACCTGCTCTGCTGCTGGTTTTAAATTTACATAGCACAGGTGCTCAAAAGAATTCAGACTAGTGTGGAAAAGGTGTGCCAATTTGGGGCATTAAGTATCATCTCCTAATTCTTTAACATTTTGTTACATAACCTTAAGAGTTAGTAAAATTGTTTTTCTGGAAATCCTACCTTGTTATGTCTATAAATTTAACATTTATTCATTATCATGTAGAGCTTTTCTCCTCATTGTAGAGTCCTTAGTTTACCTCGTTTTAAAATCCTTGAACCAGTATTTCTAGCTTTTCTCACTTTACCTGATAGCAGACTTGCCCTGTTTTGGTTTTTTTTTTTTTGGGGGGGGGTGGGGGGTCAGTAGATTTAACTCCCACTCCTTGAACACTCGCCAGGGGAGAACCAGGGGTTGGTATTTCTTTATCAAGCACATATTCTAACATTTACTCTTTTAATCTGTGCAGCCTCACCGAGACATTCCTGGGCTTTTCCTTCCTTCTCAGGCCCCAAATCTCAACTCATTTCCTCAGAGTGGAAAAGAGCTATCCATAAACAGGATTCCCTTGGAAAAGGAGCAACTTTTCAATCTTTCAAGACAAAGATTCACAGACTGTTCTGATTTAGCTTTAATCTCACTTTCAATAAATTCTCAATGCACAAAGGTGAATTTATTATTCTCATTTCTGACCTCCCCCCCCCCCCCCCCCCCAGCAAAGCCCATGGGAGCATTGCAACCTGACTTAGTGTATATTTTAACGCAAAAATGCTCAATCACAGGAAGAGGAGGTGGAAAGGAAGTATGCAAAGCCTTAAGTCTTAAACTCTAACGTCCACTATGAAGGAAATACTTGAGGAGCAAGCTCCAGGACACCGTAATAGCCGGCTATCTGATGGAAACTCATGCAGTGTTATAAACAGGAGTGGTGGGTGGGGTGGCGGCAAGGCAGTTCTAGATTAAGAGACTGAAGCAATATAACCGCCAAATTCCATGTGTGTTGCTTGGCTGGTTGTGGTTTGAAGAAGCCAGTTAGAATGAAAATTTTAGTAATTCAATATTTGATGATATTAGAGAATTATCAGTTTTGTTAAGTGTGAGGATAGTGTAGAATTAAAGTGTCTTTTTAGGGCCTACCTGGTGGTGCAAGGGGTTAACCACTGCGCTGTGAAGCAATCTGCAGCCTCTGCAGCACAAGTTCGATCCCTGGGCCAGCTGGGGAGAAACCCACATGGCGAAGCAGACTTCTCCTGTCTCCCCGCTGCTCCCCTCAGCAGTGTATTTCAGTCAGTCTGCCTGTTCTGCTCCCCACTCTGTCTCTGGTGAATCTTCTCACCCCCCCCCCCCCCCGGAATCTCTGGCCTGTACTCCAGCTCTTGTATGCATAAATAAATCAATCTTTAAAAAAAAAGTGTCTTTTTAAAATGCAACCGAGCCTCCCTTTCTCTGGCATACTCTTGTGGTCTCACCTCTCCTGTAGTCACTCCTCTCTTAGCAGTGACACCGCCCCTATATCCCTGGCCTCTAGGCTCAGGTGTGCACATGCCCACACCCATACTCTAGGTGCCCACAACCAGGCAAGAGTGCCCCACTCCCACACCCTCAAGAACCTTCTCCAGGGCCTCCCCGGTGGCGCAGCGGTTGAGCGCTGGGTTGCGAAGCTGCCCGCAGCCTCTGCAGCGCCGGTTCGATCCCCGGCTGCTCCCCAGCCACTGGAGGAGGGTCCCACATGGCACGCAGACCCCTCCTGCCGCCCGCTGCTCCCCTCAGCAGTGTACTTTGGTCCTTCTGCCTGCTCTGCTCCCCGCTCTGGCTCTGGTGAATTCTCTCACCCTCCCACGCTTCTGACTGTCCCCAGTGCTTGTATAAATAAATAAGTAAATCTTTAAAAAAAAAAAAAAAAAGACCCTTCTCCATAAACACAATTAATGCCACAGGTGATAGCCAAGCCTGATTAATCCACTTACCCTGCATTGCTCCTCTCCTATTGTGTGATCCATAGAAAAGACTTGCTTGAAAGAAGTTTAATACTTGTTTGAACTTGTTGGGGATTAAGTGGTCCAAGCCAGTGGAATCAGTAGCAATACCATCTCAAGCTCTGTCAGCCGGTAGAGTGTGCAGGGGAAGTGGTTTCTGTTTCTGATGTGCTTCCTCTCTAGCTTCTGTGGCACAGCTGCCAGCGGTGCTCCCCGACACTGATGGCTAATTTTCTGTGTCAGTTTGGCTGTGCCACAGAGTGCATAGGTATTTAGACAACATTGTGGGTATTTCTGTGATGGTGTATTTGGATGAGATTACCAATCAATGAGCTTGGATTAAAGGAGAATGCCCTCTGTGTGCATGGGCCTTACCCATTCAGTAGAAGGCCTGAACAGAACAGAAGGGCCAGCTACCCATGGCTGATGAGAAGTACTGATGCTGACCCCCAGCAAGATTTGCTGACCCTCCACAAGATTTGCTGACATCATGTTGGAGCTGCTGCTTACTGGGCTCAGGATGTGAAGCCCTGGACCCTAGCAGACCAGCTCTGGCCACCACAGGAATGATTCTGTCATTGGAGGGTTGTAGCCACACTCTCCGAGGGGAAAGGAAACCTCTCCATGGGCTTTCTTTACTTGAATATTCACTCAGATCCCAGTATATCATAGTTTTCTTTTTTCCCTCATAGCTTATTCCTTTTCTAGTTAATGCTTTCTTTGTATTAAAATCCCTGTTCAAATTAATGGTGTGGTTTCTGTGTCCTGACTGGACCGTGACCAAAGTATTTACTGCCATATTTCTACTACTTTTTTGAAGATTTTCATAATAATTTTATTTGCTCGCATTAAATGTTATATAAAACTAGACTCATTTCCTTTGTTTCTTGCAAGGAAGAGTTCAAAATTTAAAACCATAGTCATAATCATTACTGTACATTTTTTTACTAATACATTGAAAAGATTTATGTAAATTATTTACATTTTAAAAATATGCTTATTACTTCCAAACTTCGTAACTCATGTAAGAGCTGCTGCAAGTCTTTAATACCATATTAACTTAAGCCTTTTTAGAAATAATTTCTACTAAAGATTCATAATCAGAATAGTCCTTCAGTGATTGTACCAGTTCATCCAGTAGATTCTCTCCTTGCATAAATGTTTCAAGATCATGAAGTGACTTGTTTATTCTGTGATCTGTGACTCGGTTCTGTGGAAAGTTGTATGTTCTTATTTTTTCTGACCTTCCTTTAGTTCCAATCTATACATTTAAAAAAAAAAAAAGTATGAGACAGATTCAAGGCAACTAAAACTACAGATTTAACTTAGAGATTAAGCACTTAATTTATAATGTAAGCACAATGTAAGAAAGAATTTTTAAACATTTTAAATCCTCAAATGATAAGGGAAGATCATAGAGAAAAATGAATTTGGGCCTTAAAATCAGCAGATTAGTATTTGAAGCCTTTGACATTTCATTGCTCTTACTTAAATTTATTTCAACTCTAACCTTTAGTTTCCCTATTTATAAAATACATGCAAGTAATACCTACTACACAGTAATGATACATATCTGTAGCCTGGCATATAGTGATATTCACATGGTATCTACATGTACATAATCTCTGAATTAATCTAGCCATCTTCAGTGATGATGAATTGATTAAATTCCTGTAACAGTAAATTAATAAAAGGACTCTAATTATAAAATTAAATGTCAAACAGGAAGAAAGTACACTTTGCTCTCCAATTTCCATAATTTTCAAAAGACTCAAAAAGACTGGGGACTCCATCTTTTTTTCAAAAACTGATTAAAAATCATGGGGCAAAAAAAACAGCTGAGGGGCCTCCCCGGTGGCACAGCGGTTGAGCTGTGAAGCTGCCCGCAGCCTCTGCAGCACCGGTTTAACCCCCAGCCAGCCGGTGAGGGTCCCACATGGCGCGCAGACCTCTCCTGTCGTGCCCGCTGCTCCCCTCAGCAGTGTATTTCAGTCCTTCTGCCTGCTCTGCTCCCAGCTCTGGTGAATCCTCTCACCCTCCCGCGCTTCTGACTGTACCCAGTACTTGTATAAATAAATATTTAAAGAGAACAACAAAAAAAAAGCTGAGATTAGAAAACAGGGCAGAGATGTATATAGTTTTGTAGTACTCTTAAACTACAAAGGCTAGTTGACCTACTTAAGTTGGACAAACACACTGAAACAATTTATAAATACATTATATAAACGAGTTATCTAAAGAGATTTTTATCCTTTAGAAGCATTCTCAGAAAATCAATTTTACCTGAATCTTTCTAGCATTGTATCTTTTATTTGTTTCTTCTTCTAGATGCATGCTGTATAGCTTTGCACGTAACTTTTTCATAGCCATCTCTCTATTTCTTAGTTGAGATCTCTCTTGTTGGCATTCGGAAACAACACCTGAATAGTGTTATGAGAATTAGAGAGTTTTAATAGAAAAATCTTCTTCAATAGTTATCAAGGAACATGCTTTTTCCGTCTCATTCTTTTTCTTCTTCCTTTATGAAGGGAAAAAACAGGACTCTAATATAAAAGGAAAACTAAATTTAAATAAGTTTTGTAACATCAAATTGAAAATTTAAGTTTGAGCTATAGCACAAAGTACTTCCATGAAGGGAGGTAAGGGATATATACTAAATAATAAGCAATAATCATTGAATACAGATTTTTTTCTTACATCTTCAGCTAGCAAACACAACTTTTAAAAATTTAATCTATTTATAAACTAAAATATAAAAAATCTTATCCCCACAGATAATTACTATTAATTTTTCTGAGAGCTTTCAACCATTTTGTCTACTGTGTAATACTATGTATTACTTAAGATATCTTAAAATTTAACATGAAGATTTTTGTCATAAAGAAAAAGCTCATCAATCCAGCACTCATATCAACCACTACTATTCAACTGGAATTATGTAGGTGAGATATGATTCATAAGAGATTCTTAGATTCTTTTAGATAACTAAAGTTTTTCTGGCGGTATGCTCTATATCACGGGCAAGTCACTGTAGTAATACTTGTAAAACATTTAGTTCTATTTGGATACTGAAGAACTTTCAACTTAACTATCTAGAATCAGAAGCTCTGGAGATCTGTGGATGAACGTAGTGGAAGAAGCCCCTGAAATTATTCATTAAACCTGCTGTATAAGCATGTTTCTGGACAGTAAATACAACCTTTTATTTTCTCAAAGGACCCCATGTGCTCTTCCTTCCATAAAAGGTTAAGAATTAGTGACCTAGTGGGCCTCCCAGGTGGCGCAGCAGTTGAGCGCTGGATTGCGAAGCTGCCCGCAGCCTCTGCGGTGCCGGTTCGATCCCCGGCTGCTCCCCTGCCACCACAGGAGGGTCCCACATGGCGCGCAGACCTCTCCTGCCGCCCGCTGCTCCCCTCAGCAGTGTACTTCGGTCCTTCTGCCTGCTCTGCTCCCGGCTCTGGCTCTGGTGAATTCTCTCACCCTCCCGCACTTCTGACTGTACCCAGTGCATATATAAACAAAAACAAACAAATAAATAAATAAAACATGCCTCTATTAAAAAAAAAAAAAAGAATTAGTGACCTAGAGCATTTCCTGATACAGAAGAAAAAAATCACACTAGTTACTTCCCTATGGGGATTTTCTAAATGGTGACATCTATTAGGTGTAGCTTCAGAAAGCTCCCTAAAGGGACTCTCAGTCACTGACATGAAGATTCCCCAGGTTTAGATCTGGCCTTCTTCCTGGATTTAGATCCCTGCTGTTTTAGCTAAGGATTCTAAATAAATCAAGTATTTAATGACAATCCTTAGTAGCTTACATCCCTCTGGTGACTGAGGATCTGTTCCACTAGAGAATCAAGTCATTCATATCTGACTTCTGTAACGAGTGTTCTGTGCTGGCGCAGGACACGCACCTGTTGGGAGATGGACGATCCGGACTGCGCTGTCTGTGGTGTTGACGTGCTGCCCCCCGGCCCCGCTGGCTCGCTTAGTGTCGATTCTCAGATCTTTAGGATTGATCACCAGATTAATCTATACATACAAGGAAGAGCTGGATTTTAAAAACCACATGTAAGAAATGCTTAAATGTGAAAACTTTGTTTACAAATATAAACACATGTATAGAATGCAGTGTTAGAGATGTAAAAATAATAGCTAAGTTTGACATGTTGTAGAAAAATTCTGAGTTCAAAAGACCTGGGGGGGGGGGGGGAGACCTAGGAGAACAAAGGGAAGGGTTAATTTTCAACAAAAGAGAACTTAAATATATTCCGACAGGGGATAGACCTGACATCAGGAATTCTACCATTAATGGAAGGGGGCTTCCTGGTCGCCCTTTGTGGCTCCCTGATAACGAATGCTACAATTAAAAGAGAGGATATGTGGAGCCTGGTCTCAATCTTTTCCTGAAAACAACTTCTACCTCCCTAATGCTTAAACCAAAATTTAGTTGTGGCTCCTGCCATTTATTCTATTTCATCATCTCCTTTAACTGTTGTATTCCGCATCTAGGCTTCACAGGAGAAACACAACTAAAGAAGGGAGCTCCACTGACTCCACTAGAAAGTCAAGCAGCACTTTTCTTTAGAACTGATGAACAGAAACCCTCAACTAAACCTCCTTCTCAAATCATTTACACATCATTCTTTACCTTACAAATGCACGGACTGAGAATTTGCTTTGTGAGAATAAAGTGTATTTCCCTAGGATGGTAACACTATGTTTCTTTCTTTTTTCTTTTAAAGATTTATTTATTTATGCATACAAGAGCTGGGGTACAGACCAGAGATGCAGGGAGGTGAGAGGATTCACCAGAGACAGAGTGGGGAGCAGTACAAGCACACTGACTGAAACACACTGCTGAGGGAAGCAGTGGACAAAACAGGACAGGTCTGCTAAGCCATGTGGCTGGCTCCCTGGCTGGCTGGGGATCGAACTCGTGCTGCAGAGGCTGTGGACTGCTTCATACAGCAGTGCTTAACCCCTTGTGCCACCAGGGAGGCCCCTATATTTCTATTTAAATGTGACTGGGTTCTGAAGTTGCTATTTTCTTAAGTAGTTATTAGCCTTTTTAGAACAGGATTCTTGCATTAAAATTCTGGGAACTAGTCACACAAAGCAAGTCTTTGTAAAGGTAACCAATCTTAAACTCACTTTAAAGGAGGTTAATATTATTTCTCCCGCAAAGATGGCCTCAATGGGTCTCCCTGGTGGCGCAGCGGTTGAGCGCTGGGTTGCGAGGCTGCCTGCAGCCTCCGCAGCACTGGTTCAATCCTCAGCCCGGTGCGCAGACCTCTCCAGCTGCCCGCTGCTCCCCTCGGCAGTGTACTTCGTTGGTCTGCCTGCTCTGCTTTCCCCTCTGGCTCTGGTGAATTCTCTCACCCTCCCGCGCTTCTGACTGTACCCAGTGCTTGTATAAATAAATAAATAAATCTTTAAAAAAAAAAAAAAAAAAGATGGCCTCAAAATATCCAAGCTTAGTGGTGATGAAGAATTAATAAATAGCACAAGATTAGATCATTTGTGCATCCATAATTTTTACCATCTATTATAAAATCATTTGAACTGAGATGATCAGATTCTGAAAACAAAATCAAAATATGTGATGAAGCTCAAAGAGCAGGAAAAGGAGACTCTCAATTCTGTAACGTGAGTGTTACTAGGCGGCAAGGTACTGTGCCAGGCCCAGGACTGGCAGGATGAGGACTTACTCACCTCGGTGGGCTGGGGTAATATGGCCACAGTCATGGTGCTAGTGTGGATGCGGCCTTGCTTCTCTGTCTTTGGCACTCTTTGCACTCGATGCACGCCTCCTTCAAATTTCAGGTGCTTATAGGCTTCTGAACCCCCAATGCTGGCAGATGCATGTCGAAGGCCACCTTGAAATTATTGGGAAAATTGGATTATTATTCCTGCCATTTATAATTAACTGTCATTTCTACCATCTTCAGACATGTAAAAGAACTAAAATAATAAAAGTATATAGATTGCAAAAAGTTTGACACAAAATGTTTTAATACTTTAATATCTTTATTACTTGAAATTGTCAAGCATGAAGCACTTACAGTGTTAATGAGATGACTCAAAAACATATCTAAAAGACCACTTGTTAAAGACCACTGGATGACTAAAATGCAAAATCCAAATATTTGCATTCAAATTTATTAGGTAAATGATTAGTGTAAAACCATGTAAGCACCCTTACAAATAAATTCTAAGGGGGCCTCCCTGGTGGTACAGCGGTTGAGCGCTGGGTTGCGAAACTGCCCGCAGCCTCTGCAGCGCCAGTTCGATCCCTGGCTGTTCCCTGGCCACCGGGGGAGAGTCCCACGTGGCATGCAGACCTCTCCTGCCACCCGCTGCTCCCCTCAGCAGTGTACTTCAGTCTGCCTGCTCTGCTCCCTGCTCTGGTGAATTCTCTCACCCTCCCCGCTTCTGACTGTACCTAGTACTTGTATAAATAAATAAATAAATCTTAAAAAAAAAGAAAAAATTCTAAGGCCTAGTCATGGTCTTTCTAACCCTTTTGCTAGGACACATGCAGACACAATAAATTATTAACTCTATACTTTAACCCAAACAAATTAAAGAATTTACTGACCTATTTCACTTGGAAAATATTCCAGGGTTTCAAAATGCCATCTTTTAAATGCAGCATATTGCTGATACATATCAAATATCTCTGAAGTAAACAACATTGCCTCCTGACCACCAACTCCTGCGGTTACCTCCAAGATCAAATCACTTTCATCTGTTTCTTCTGAGGGAACCAAAAGGAAGATAATCTGTAAATACAAAAATATTATCCACTCCTATAATTAAGAATTATTTAAAACTTAAAAAAAGGTAAATGATTAAATGCAGTATTCTGAATATTTACTTGAAGTTTATTTAAGCAACTACTGCTGAATCCTGTTTATAATTAGAACTATTGCAATGCAGAACTTCCAAATATTATTGTTGAGACTATATTATAAATGCTAGAAGGTTCAGCTAAAACTTACAGGTTTGTTTTCGTTGATGTTCATGGATGAAATGCCATGTGTAGGACAAAGTACAGAATTCAAAAGGTTCTAGTGCTATCCTAGAAATTTTTAGTCTGCCATAACAGGGTAAAAAAAAAAAAGAAATAACTCAAACTGCATTTGTATTTTTTTAGTATTTTTGTAATATGAGAAACTTGCAAATTTGGAATTGAAAAGGCACTTAGAGATGAAAGGGTCCTGCTCCCTCACTTTACATGGAAAAGAAAATGAGGCAACAGATTAAATGGAGCTTTAGAGGGTGAAGTATCAGTGGCAGAGTAGGCACAAGAAGACAAATCCTGTGCCCAAATCAGTCTCTTCCTTCCAATATTACAGGATACTTCACACTTCAGCGTGTTCCAACAAGAGGATATCAAATAGACTTCTTAGATTAGGTGAGTTAAATAAAAACAAACTGCCAGTATTTATTGGTTCTTTAATGTATGAAAGGCACTTTGCTAAGCATTTCACATACTTTCTTAAAATAATCTTGGTAGGTTCTACCTAAAGATGTGAAAACTGTGTAATCTACTTGCCCAATATCATACAACTAGGAAGTGCTGGAATTTGAACCCAAGTGCTGGAGTTTTGAAACACGTCAGGAGTTATATTACCACTTTCCCATCTCTCTAGCCTCTGCCAGCACATGATCATTCAAACACTGAATTAACATGACAGTATTTATTCACATCTGCCTGTTAATAATTACTAAGTAATGAACAGAAACCTTTAATACATAGGGCTTCCTAGCTCACCAAAAAAAAAAAAAAAAAAAAAAAAAAGGGAAGGAGGAAACGGTGGAAGACAAGCCACACCAGACTTCTCACTCTGTAGTGAACTTACTTTCTGGCTGCTGAAGACATGAATTCCACTGAGTTCCACATCTGGCTGAAGAACAGACTCTGAAGTAAGCACCCCTTTCCAGGCTCCTCTCACCTTCCCAAGCTCTTTCATCCCCCCAGAGATGACTTCTGTAAACCCTAAAGCTATTCTTGAGGGATTAGCAGAATGGTTCTGTTTTCACACGAGTATTCTCAGTCTAACTTCTGCGTGTTCTCCTGAAGCTCCAGCAGATGGAAAACCAAAGCAGTTGTAACAGTAGCCCCAAAGGCTGCTCCACCTTTGGCCTCTAACAGAAGCAGAGACCAAAAGGGGAAATGTCACACCAATATGTCACTGCCTTTCTGGCAAGTCCTACTAATGTGATATCCATTTTTCTTTCACAGTTCTACACTCCTTTCATTATAATAAAAAAAGGACCACACAGAGTATCCTTTTCCCCCTGCTTTAAAAACCAGTTTATGATTCTTAATACTAAGAAGTCAATTAGTTCTTGAATTGTTTTTACTGACTTTCAACAAAATGCATAAAAAGTATATAAATGCTTAATTCTTTGCACAAATACTATACCTGCTGTTTCAACTGAGTTATTTCTTCCTGACATGAAGTTATTTCACTCTCTGCAAGTTTCCTTAAGTCTTCATTTTCATCTAAGAAAAGAAGCAATGGGTTCAGTTTTCCTTAGTGTTACATTGCCAACAGATCAACGTAATAGTTTTACTGTTGTCATAGATGAAGGGAGGAGTAAAATGTCTTTCTTGTCCTTATTACCATTAATTAAAAGTAGCACATAACACATTAACTTTCGTAAATGTAGCTGTAATAAAAAAAGACAGAACTTTCTTCCTAATGACAAAAGAAAGTTAAGTGTAAATAAAATTAAACGTAAAACCCAACTAATTCAGGTCTGCCTGTTTACAGAATGCTTTCATGGAGTTCTCATGTCTTTTAGACATTACCCTAATTCTTATGTCATCTTTCCCTTACAAGATATACTTTTTCATTCCTTTATCCTATGAACACTACAGCCTTCAGCCCTTCAGCAAGGAGAGAAGGGGAGATCTTTTCAGCTATTACAAATTGTTCTCTCTGTTGAAAGAGCAAACGCTTACAAAAGTATCAGTATGTTCATTTATTAAGAACCAGCTATGCTGGGAATGGGGGATAATAATACATAAGATCTGGGCCTCCCTCGTGGGGCAAAGAGTTAAGACGCAACCTATGAAGCTATCCACAGCTGCTGCCAACAGGAGTTTGATCCCCAGCCAGGGAGCTACACATGGCGCAGCAGACCTCTCGTCTCCCCCGCTGCTCCCCTCAGCAGTGGATTTCAGTCAGTCTGCCTGTTCTGCTCCCCACTCTGTCTCTGGTGAATCCTCTCAGCCCCCACACCTCTGGCCTGTACCCCAGTTCTTGTATGCATAAATAAATAAATCTTAAAATATATATATGTAAGACCTGGCCTCCAAGCAGGATTTTAGAAAATTTTAAGTTTCATTATATTTTTTTCTATGGGACAAAAACAAAGAATAGTAATCAAAGACACTATATGATGAAATGTTAAAATAACACCACCTTGACAGAAGTTTTTTTTTTGTTTGTTTTGTTTTTTTTGCCTGTTTTGTGATAGACAGGAAAAGAAAAAAGGATTAGCTCAAGGAGAAAGACTATAACAAAAGCAAAATGAGTCAAACAAGTGGAAGCATAAGTGGGATGGAAGGAAATTATTTTGGCAGAAATTTGGAGTGGAAGATATTTGGTGAAATGGTAAATGGTTTGAAAAGGAAAAGGAAAAATGAATTCTAGCTCTAGTGTGTCCACTGAGATTCTCTTAGGGCAATGTACCCAGTTCTTCTGAGTCCTAGTTATTTTAAGAGTAAAATGAAGGATCTTTGTGATCTCTAAAGTACCTTTCAGTCCTGAAATCCAGTGTTTGGAGTTTGGAATTAGAATCTAGAACTAATGTAATTTTAATGCTCCATTTTATTTATCCCAGGAGACCAAAACATGCGACACTGAATCAATACATAAGTGTAAGTACATTTTGAAAAAAAGTAAGTCTCCGAAATCTGGTATGTATTTCATACATACATGTCACTTGAGACCTGCCTCATTACAGGTGCTCACTCCATGGCAATTTGTGGCCAAAGGCTACCAACCTGGACAGTGAAGCTCTAGGGGCTGTCGAAAGAGGAGTTATTCCTAGGAGAAGGAAATACACTAGTTCTTTACTTTCACCTTCAGTATCATTAGCCACAATGTTCACTGGGCACTCACTTCATGCCTGCCTTCTCCTCCTGACTTCATCATCCAAGGGTCCTCTTCCAAGGGTCCTCTCAAGAAACCACTGTGTCCTCCTCTCTTCCCACCCAAACTCCTGGGGGTAAAATAAATGCCATATTTTCTTATAATTCTCATCACTTCTGAAGCTACTTTATTGGATTATCATATTAATAACACCCTTTAAATAAAAATTAACTGACAAAATTGCCAAATCTAAAGACTTATTTCAGTGTAAGCTGAGCCTGTCCTAAGTCCCAGGTCACCTGCCTGCCTTCAGTTCCCTTCTCTTGCTCTATGTGCAACCTCCTTACCCGTCAGGATCCATTTCATTGCCAGCCTGTGCTATTTATAACACCTTTTCACTCCAGAAATTAAAATACTCATCCACTTGCATTTTTACTTAACTTCTATAAACATCTCTGTCTCAGTATACTGAGTGGTGGTGTCTGACCCATAGAAAGAAGTCAGGATTTGCTAAATGACAGTTTTCTAATGTTTTTAAGCTGAGTCACATTCTGCCAACAATTTTCTAACATTTTTTACTTCTCTGTTGCTCTGTTTTTAAAACATTTAATCTTAAAGCCACTTAGATATTAAGCTAGGCTTATGCTATAAAACTAATGTAACGTATCCCCCAAAGATATTTTCCCTGATTCCCTCAGTTAATGCTTTTTTATGCACCAAGTAATCCTCCATTTTCCCTCAGTCACTCAATTTAGTCGCTCCTAAGTCTCACCTAGACTACTGCTTAGCTTTCTGTTTTTATATGGTATTTTCAATCTAATTGCAGATTGATTTCGAAACTACCACAAACCATGCTTCCTAAGCAACAAAGCTAATTCTCATTCACTCCCCAATCTAAAAGCTTCTCCTGGGCCTCCCTGGTGGTGCAAGGGGTTAAGCACAGCACTGTGGGGCTGTCCGCAGCTTCTGCAGCAGTTTGATCCCTGGCGGCCAGGTTGCTGCCCACATGGCACAGAAGACCTCTCCTGTTTCGCCTACTGCTCCCCTCAGCAGTCTTTCATTCGGTCCCCCTATTCTGTTCCTCGCTTTGTCTCTGGTGAATCCTCTCACCCTCCAGCACATCTGGCCTGTACCCCAGCTCTTGTATGCATAAATTTTTTAAAAAAAGGTTGGGCCTCCCTGGTGGTGCAAGGGGTTAAGACGCAACCTTTGAAGCAATTCGCAGCCACTGCAGCACAAACTGCAGCACGAGTTCGATCCCCAGCCAGGGAGCTACCCACATGGCGCAGCAGACCTCTCCTGCCTTGCCCGTTGCTCCCCTCAGCCGAGTATTTCAGTGGCTCTGCCTATTCTGCTCCCCACTCTGTCTCTGGTGAATCCTCTCACCCCCGCACACCTCTGGCCTGTACCCCAGCTCTTGTATGCATATATACGTATTTTAAAATACATATATATAAAAAAAGTTTCTCCTGGCGCCCTTCTGCCAACAGGATAAAATCAGCTTTCAATGAGTATCACACACCTCCCCTTCCAACCTGCCATTCCCTTTCTCCTCCCTACTCCCTCAGTTAACAAAGAGTTCAGCGATTAAAAGCATGAAAGCTGGATATTCCCTTTTTTTAAAATTTTATTTTACAAACTCTGAGATGAGTTGTACTTGTATGCCTCAGGTTCCTCTTCTGTAGCATGAGGCCAATAGTAACTACCTCAGTTTGCGATGGGGGCCCGGGTGAGTTAGCTTACAGAGTCAAAGTCTGCACATCAGGTACGAGAGGCCTGCAGAAGGAAAGGGACCACTTAAGGCAAGCTGTTAGGCCTTCTGAGGATGGGGCGTTTTTCCGTCCCGGGTCTCCCAACAAGTTCTCCTTGCTCTCCTGTCTTAGTCAGCTGACTGTTATTGCCAGTCAGCTGCATTATAATTAATTCTTCCTCAATAGATCGTGAGCAGAGCCTCACCACCCAAAACGGGGCCTGAAGACCCGCAGTCGGCCTCCCTGGGAGCTGGAAGAAACGCAGAAACGGGCTCCACTGCAGATCCGAATGCGGAGTAACCCCTCAGCCAACTATAAAAACACATATTTCGAGGTCTCAGGGTTTGAACGTGCCTGGCTTCAGCACGCGCCTCTCCTGACACCACTGCAGGCGGCCCCGTCCCACACTCCGAAGCTTGGCTCCGGGCCCTGGAGCGCTTGCGAGGGCGGGCGCCTTTTTTGTCCTCGCTGAGCCGACGATCTCAGCCAGAGCACGCAGCAGAAGGGCCACCTGAGCTCGCGCAGTGCGTGGAGGAAGCACAAAAACTCAAACAGGAGACGGTGCGATCAGAAAGTGGGGGCCTCCCTGGTGGCGCAAGGGGTTAAGACGAAACCCAGCCGCAGCCTCTGCAGCGCGAGTTCGAGCCCCAGCCGGCCAGGGAGCTACCCACACGGCGCGGCAGACCCCTCCTGCCTCGCCCGCCGCTCCCCTCAGCAGTACTTTCAGTCACTCTGCCTGTCCTGCTCCCCACTCTGTCTCTGGTGAGTCCTCTCACCCCCACACCTCTGGCCTGCACCCGGGCCTCACCCCGCAGCAGGCGCCGCGTCTCCCGCAGCTCCAGCTCCTTCTCGAGCAGCTTCCGGGCCGCGGTCGCCAGCCCGGGGCCCCGACGCGCGCCGGGGCTTCGGGCCCTACCAGCCTCTCCAGCAAGGCGCGCAAGGGCCCGCCGCGGGCGAACAGCTCCTCCACGGGCGGGCCGCCGCCGCTGAGGTGCCGCCGGGCCGGGCCGGGCCCCCTGCAGGCCCACAGGCCGCGAGCGGCTCTCAGCAGGCCCCGGGGCCGCATCCCGCCGGCGACCCGCCGCCACAACGCCGGAAGTTCCGGAGAGCGAGTCTCGCGAGACGAGAGCTCCCCGAGCCCGGCCCCGCCCACGCGCCGGCTGTTTAAAGGGCCTCCGGGAGGTCTCGGCGTGGACTTCCGGCCAGGCATTTACACGCCACATCCGTCACGGAGACCGGAAGTAAGGGGCGGGAGGCAGGCTGGGGGGCGGGTCTGGGGGCCAGGCACCGCCTCTGCCGACTGGGCGGGGGCGCCTCCTCGAACGTGGAGGGGCGGAGGCCGAGGCGGGTCGCCCCTCGGGTTCCTGTGGCCGCAGCGCTGACACTTCGCGCCGCGGCGACGAGAGTGCGGCTCCCAGCGCCAGCCCGGCCCTGGCCCCGCCGGGCCCTTGGGTGGGGGGGTCACCCCGCGACCTCCCCCGCGGGGGCCCCGGCGGCCGGCCAGGCCCGGGGGGCTGAGGCGGGGCGCGCGGGTACGGTGCAGACGCGCGTCTCCGCCCCGCTCGTCCCGGCGCTCGCCTGCGAGGGTCTCCCCCCGCGGCGGCTGCGTGGACGGGGCCGCGGGGCCTCAGATCAGAAAGGAAAAGGGGAAAAATTAAGGACAAAACTTCAAAAGCTCCTCAGGCGGCGGGGGAGCCGGTCCCCGCGGGGAGGACGGGGCCGCGGGTTCGGGGCGCCGGCGCCGAGCTCCCCCTTGCTGGAATAATCCACCAAGTGTTGGGTTTTTTGCACTGGAGACAGCTGAGCTACTGGAAAAGCTTGCAATTTGCTCTTTTCAAAAATAGTAAAATAAGGGAGCCCTGGACACGGCTTAGTCATCCTTAAGTGCGCGAACCCAGACTGGGGGGTTAAGGATAAAATTCCTAGAAAACGAGCTCTCGAGCCCGCTCACCCCGGTGCTCCCCACACACGCGCACAGCCCCGTGGAAGAATGAGGCGACTTTCCATGTAATACAAAGCAAAATTAAGTTTTGCTACTTAAAGGATTTAAGTATTTCAGTTCTTCGTTTCACTTAGCATTTGTAGTAACTTTAAATTTGCTTTATAAAATCGCTGTTTGCACAGTAGTGAAACTTCCCGTTGTGATCCGCAAGTGGAACTGGACTGTTGTTAAGTCGTTTATTGCTCAATTAGGGACCTTTACGTCCCCCGTCTAAACTCAACTTTGAATTTTTTTTCCATCGATGGCTATGGTGACAGTCATTTGCATTCACCATTATAAAGCTCTCAGCCGAATTCTCAGAAAACATCCTTTCGAGATATTTTTATTATTTATAGATGATGTAAAATGCAATAACCATAACCCTATAACACAATGTGAAGGAACCAGCCAGAAGTTATTTTCCCCCAGATGCATAAGCAATTTAAATAATATAAATACATATCTTTCACTGTAGTGTTACACCAATGAGGAAACAGTAGCTTGTCTAAAGATACATTGGTGAATTCTTTATTAATTCAAAACATTTCAAGTCACTGTAATGCATGTGAATTTTACAATAATGTCCGTAAGTTTCCACAGTGTCCTCAAATGAAAACAGTTGTAGTTTGATTTACTTTGAAAACTCAAAGAAATATACTTGAGACTTCTGAATTTTTGTACATTATTGTCATGCTTAGATTATTACATATTGAAAATTCTAGCATTTTCAGGAAGTCTATTATTTTACATAGATAAAATGATAAAACAGATTCCAGGAAGGGGGAATAAACTGATACCAACTTAAATTGGAGGAAAAATAATCTGGATTATTCAATTTATAAGAACCTACTGTTATTCTGGCATTGCAAAATAACCAAGCATGGAAACTCTTACTTTTTTATTCATGCACTCAAAACTTCTTTATGTTCCACTAGTAAATATTGGTGGAAATGTGACTATAGTTATTAACTACAATGAACAAGGTAGTAAAAAATTACACACATTCATATGATGAATTTTACAGAACCAAACACATTGAAATTCTTTTTAAAATTTAGCAAACATCTTAAAACCATATACAAGAAACACTGTATATGTGACAAATAGATTAAAGCAAGGGGAAAAACCAATCTTTTACAGTATTTCTATATTCAGTGTTCCTTTTCAATGGAAGGCAATACAGAAAAGCACTCAGCAAAATAATCAATTTAAATTACCTCTATGACAATTAGTACGACTATGATCTTTACTACCTAAGGGATGTAGAGGATACAGGTAGTTCAAGGGAAAAGAATTCATTTTCATCTCAATTAAGTGACTATTCCAAGCTAACACTGTTTTGGAATTTTATTTTCCCATTTCACTTTCTAGTTCGTAATATTTTCTTAATAGGTCTGCTGAGGAACCCGCTCAGAAATTTTTGCTTGGTGCAAATGTCCAATAAATCTACCTCCAATATAAACTCTTAAAATATGTAACTTTACAGTGCAGAAGTCTACCAAATATCTCAGCCAGATCATCCAGTGCTAGGTTGTGGTGATAGGCGCTTTTGATATCATATGATATGAATGGCCCCTTACTTGTGTTGTTTTCCTTCCAAAAAAAACTGTTAGCCTCTATCTGACCATGGGGGGGAAAAAAAAAAAAAAACCATCAAATTTTACAAACTACTAGTCCAGTACTCAACACTGTCAATTTGGATTTAATGGTCATCAATATTGGTTCATTCATGTTGACAAATGTATCATGGATGTGCAGTATATAGAACCTCTGTACTATCTTTGCAAATTTCCTGTAAATCTCAAATTATCCCAAAATAAAAGATATAATGAAAAATTTTATGTCCAATTCATATTCATGGCAAAATTAATTTAAAAACCAGACTACCCTAATATTAAAAAGAATGCCGGTGTTTTCTAACGGCCAATTTCTTATAACATACTTATTTGGCAAATTACCTGATATTATTCTTACCCTGGGAATGTTTCATTTCCTAATTTAGAAATAAACTTTTCAAATGATTTATTTTAACCTATAATGTTATACACATGCTTGCACGTTTATGTATACATGCATGTGTGGTGGGAAGAAACATAGTCCTTGATTATAGATTCAGTGTGATGGTAAACTGAAAATATTAATTTTGATCACATTTTTTAACAGAGCAATAGATATTCATATAGTTATGCATTTTAAAATAAGTTTGGTTGCATTTGTTTTGGATGAATAATTAAATCAAATTTTTAAAGTATGGCTTGAAAAAAGGTAGGGGGAAAGTGCAATAAAATGGTATTTAATACTTGCATTCTTGAAACATGGGAATTATTATTGAGCTGGAGATCTTTCATAAAATAACAACATTACTTCTCCCATGTTTATTTCATTTAATTCTCATGTGAACCCTATAATATAAGTATTATAGTCCTCATGTGAAGACAAGGAAAATAGGCTCAGAGAAAATACATGAATTGCTCAAAGTCACGAGGCAGAACTTGAAATTAAATTTGTAAGTAAACCTGGTATTGGAAACAAAAATATCAATCTGCATTGTTGTGTGCTCCAGAATACTGTAAAACGTGTACAGGGGAGAGCTGAAACAACTTTTTGGCATCACTTATTAAGTTTTTGCAACTGCAGCAAATGAAGAGTTACTAAAATTTTTAAACCTTTAATACTGTTTTTTCCAGAACAAACATATTGATCACAAATTTTTCAAATAGCTTAGAAGAGCACTCAAATGTGTGTTTAAAAATACACTTTGAAAATTAGGGTTGTAAACTATTGATACAAATACACAAGAGAATTTTCTGAAAATATCTTTACTACATTTCAAAATAATGGGCTACTGTATCTAGTTAAAAGTATTTAAAATTCATGTTTGATAGTGTTCCAGGTGTAGACATTTTAGATTTATGAAATTTTAGGTGGCTTTCAAAGAGCTCATATATTCCTATTTTTCACTGTATTTTAAATTTCTCCCTCATATATTTCTGCCTCAAAGCGTCTGATATATTATCTTTTTTTTTTTTTTGCAAATGTGATTTGTCACAATTACAACTTATTTTTCAGTGTAATTTAAAGGTGTATACACAAAAATGGATAACTTGAAAATTAATAATCGGGTATCCTTTAAATCAGCTTGATGGCGAGAAAATGTATTTTTGCCCCTAATAAGTAAATTATTTACCTACTTATAGGGTCCTTTTGCAAAACTGAACTATCAGGTAAATATATGGTACACATTTCATTCTGGAAATAAGAATCCTAGGCAGCATCAAAGGAGACTACTGAACACCCCATGCACCATGACCAAATAGCAGAACCGGTCATCCTATGTACATAATTTAGGATTAAAAAAGGAGACCATATTATGGTCCAGATTTTTGCACTTCATAACATTAATATCAAAATTGTGTTTTGCTATTACTGTTCTTATGCTAGTGCATCTTCTGTGCTCAGAGCTGCCCTGTAACAGGGCATCTGTGTTACCAAGTGACAGTTATCTGGAGTGAAGAAGTATCATCCATCCATTCTTAATGTGATCTATGTACAAGATCCATTTCTGAAGAAATCTGGCTCTCCAATTTATATATATGTATATATATAAATACTTATTTATATATAATCTATATCCTCTAGTTTCTCTTTCCATTATAGACACATTTGAAATTAGGCACTATAGAAAGCATTAACCTCTTTCTGTGTGCATTAGCAGATTGTACAAAGATATCTTGGCAATCTAAAACACAAAGTGTTCCTTCTAAAGTGCTAATTTTTCCCCAGGGAGGAATTTATTCATTAGGAAAAATCAAATACTATCAAAACAAATATTGTGCTCTTGGAATGGTAGCATAGACACCAGTGGAGGGCTTTTTTGTTTGTTTATTATAGCTCGGCAATTTTAAACAGAAAGAATTATATCATACTTTAAAAATTGGTAGAGTTGCAAATATACAGACATACGCTTAGATAGAAACCTTAAAACATCTGAAATTAATGAAAAACCCTCCCCTGTCCCAAAAATAGGAATTTAGCACAGAAATACTCACACAGTATGTTACCAACATCTGATATAAATCTGCTCTAGAATCATTCTCAACACAACTTCCTAATCGGGTTTCAAAAGGATATACTAATCAAAATCTGTATTCTACAAATGCCCAGGTTAGAGATTAGGACTCTTTATAAGGGCCCTTATCTTTTACATTTGGTAAAATATTAAAGGTATTGTCAAACAGACAATTCATCTAAATAAGTCCAAAGTATCTTATGAAGATAACTTATGACTAGCAGGTCACCATCATATATAGTAACAACAAGAATATAAAGTCTACATTTAAAAAGACTGATGCATGCTCTGTATCATAGTATGTTACATGTTTTCTAGTCGTGTGCACCAATGTATTGTGCCTCAAACACAGCAACAAATATGATATTACAACATATATGTGTATACATCAGAGTAGCATTAAACTCAATTCTAATCAAGAAAAAATCAAATATTCAGGACTAGAATTTCACAAAAGAAGTGATGATCCTTTTAGGTTTTTCCTCACTCCTTAGGAAAAAATATGACTTTTTGTAAACATCTTCAGAGCTATCTTTTTTCAACATATTTCTGAAAACTATTATTCAAATAGTAAATATCTAGTTGACATGGTTAAAGTATGTCTGGACACACTAACACTTTCAGACAAAAACAGGCATTTATTAAAACAAATGATTATAAATATTTTCTATCTTGTATTTTAACTACATTTTCATAAATAATGTATTTAAAAGTGCTGAGTATGTTAGGATAGTCAGCAACGCCAGTGTAAACAGAACATTTTGTTTTCTACTCTGCAATCTTTTTTTAAAATCCCATTTTGTCAAACACTGCAACAGTTAAAATATTTGCATAGGGAATAGATAATAGCCCTTTTAATCATATCTCCTGAATTCTATATAAATTAGAAAATCAAATTCACTTAAAAAAACAATTCTTTGAAATGTTTTAAGTTTATGGAAAAAGAAACTCAGAATGCCAACCTTTCAAGTAAAATAAAATTTAAAAAGAAAACCCCAAGCTTGTTTTTAAAAAATGTTCAATAAATTAAAAAATGAGAGGTAGTTAAAAAATGACAAAGAAAACCTATATTTGTTAATATCATCCTTAATATAAGGCCAGTATTCTCAGTGGATATAAATATTTTTAAAACTTTTATTTTAGATTACTCAATATTTAAGATTAAAAAAATAGCTTCCAGGGGATACTGATATTCAAATTCAAATGTAACACCTTGATATAAATATGACACTGACTTTTTTGTGTGTGTACACGATACTGTTTTCTTGAATCTCAAAAGTACCTGCCCAATGTCAGGCAAGTTTTTTGTCTTAAAGATTTAGTGGTACTTATAAAAAATAAGATGGCAGCTTAGAAGATTTGAGCACTGTACTGCCTTTCAATTATGGATGAGAATTAAAAGTATGGTCTTAACATTTTAAAAATAAGTCATTCTTAAGATACTATGTGAAAACAGTTAAGGTCCAAAGTAGAGAATTATCTTCTTCATAACCGTTATAAAACCTTCCTTGGTTAAAAACTTAGCTTTTCACTGGATTTCACTTTTAAGGAAAATATACCACCGGACAGATGTTATTCATCAAAATGTTTTATGATGCTACATGTAAGCATTCCTTTATTAAATACTTTCTTTATAATCAAAAACTAAGTTATCAAGCTTATTATTTTTCTTCTTGCTAAAGTACATACTTTACACAACCACTTTAGAACTGGAGAGCCAGTCTTTAATAAATTAATTACAGTATTGGACATCTGATATATACATAGATTCATTTTCTTCTATTACAATTAAAAACAATATCATTCTTTGATTTGTCCTTGAAATAGAATATCTTCAAATGGTATTGTGCTTTTTTTTCCTTCATATTTTGTCTTTTTTTTTTTTACATAGCAAACTCTGCTGTAATGAAACGCCACAGTTTTGGCAGTGAACAACCAGAGGACTCCCCCATTGGATTTTCCAACAAACAGAGAGAAATAGCTCTTTTTCATGTACAGAAATATTGGCTTCAAAATTAGTGTACTGAACACAGTATATAGCATGTTGAATACCATGGTTACAAATTAAAAATTGGCTTTTTCTGTCTTATATTTAAAAATGCAAACCACAGCCATTTTGGCAATTATTTCTAGAAGACCATATTGCACAAAAGTCCTTAAATACAGATATAAGTTATGCCATTGGATTAAATAGTACAACTAGGTGGCAAACAAAGCAGTTTTACTTTGCACATGCAGTCTCTGGAGATACACTAGGAGACTGTTTGTAGAACTACAAATACAAGTTTGCTTGCAAGTAGATGATTGTTGAATGAAACAAACTTAATTTGGCAATTCATAATGTGATGTGGTATTTTCTCCAAACTTAACCATGGATAACCTTGATAAAAATGGAGACAAAGACCATGTGGTCATATTTTTCACAGTAGCCTGAGGAATGCTAAGCTGTAGTTCTCCAGGAACTCAGTTTCTGATGTGATGTAACTACTTTTATTTCCCATCCCAGCCCTCCAAAATGAAATTTTTTTTTTATGAAAATTAAGATTCAGAAGTAGAGCTGGCAGTACTTTCAACAAATGACTTATAAATTTGAGAGTTCAAAAACCTTGGAAAAGAATCTCTGTGCATTAAAGTATATATCTGAAGCTGGGCATCTTCATACATGTGAGGGTTAGGATCCAACAGATTTCTGTTGATCACCTCTCTAACTCGAGAATCGAGACTGACCTAAAAAGAAATAAGAGCAGATACATTAAACAATATATATTTTTTTCAATAGATCTCAATTGAGTAACTGTAAGTTTGGGATATTTCAGAGAAATTGCAGAGTAAATTGACTACCTGAAGTCTTAAGGTCATCTTTTTTCCAAGACTACATGACCTTGCACACTTTTCTTTCCACAAGTTGAATTAAACAAACAAAAAGCAGCTAGATATTTAAGCCAATCACGAAATTCACAGGTATCTTGGCCTACTTGGGTTTACCTTTTCTGTACGTTTGCTCTGGAGTTTTCGTCATTTTCTATCCATTGTTGAATTACTGGAGAATTCCCTAGCCAGAATATGAATTTATCTCTTCCCACTGCGTCTGCTGGGGGTGACTCTTGATGAATAAGAAAAAAATGTGACAGAGAGTAATTCTCTGGCAAAAAATAATATGTATCTTAAATATTGATTCCTCACCGTTTCATATCCCAATAAAAGTACCAATGGTAGGAAACCAGGTATGTGCAAAGGCCTTATACAGCAAAAATGCATAGACACTCTCCTGTCTTACCTCTACCTGGCAAAGCGTAGGAAGCCATGTATATCCTACATATAGAGGACTAATCCCAAGATCTCTGTGCTAAAGAGTTTGCAGGAAATTGCTTGCAGTGTAACCTTTCCAAGGAAAAATGTCAGTAGGCATTCAGAATACCCACTGCAGTTATCAAAACAGTATTATTTAGAAGTGATTCAGTTATTTTTCTTCCTCATCAAATGGTGATATTTTGGAACTGGTGGGACACGTTGGAAGGGGAGTTAGGGATAAACATGAATAAGGACATGCTTGGGAACAGAGTGAGGCTCTGCCCCCAGATGACAGGTCAGAAAATCCCAAGAGAGGATGAGCATCCTTTGTGTTCACTGTTTAAACAGGACTAGGGCACCGTGGGCCAATTCTCTGTCTCCTGATGAGCCTATGTCTACACAAACCTTTGATTTTTATAACTAAATTTTATAACTAGATATTTATAACAACATGTGTTATCATAAGCATTTTGCAAAAGCCTTTTTGATTCTGGCTTCTGGTTGCTTTCCTACCCACTGCTTAGACTAAACCCAGGGTCTGAAACAGTCCTAGTGACCAAAGCTGCTTATTTTCTATCTGGTGTTCCCTGATTCCTCAACTCTGGAATTGGGTTGATTGATTTGCCCAGGGATGGCTGCTAGGGGAAGGTCAGTCAGGAGACAGTGATTTAAATTTTGGTGGTGTCACTAGACCACTTTGTATATAGGGGGAAAAAAAAATCAAACATATCTTGGTTAAACTAGTATTCTTCTTTGTCAAGAATTCGTTAAAAAAAAAAAGGAGGTTCTGGAAATGGGTCATTGAGGCTTTAGTGTGTTATTGTTGTTTGTAAACAACATCAAGTACAATGTAATAAAAATAGAGACATTTTCCAAAGCTTTTTATTTAAAAATATCACTTATGCTTGTACTCCACAGGAGAACACTGACTTTGGTGTTTCAACTGCTTGATCTTATTCTGCATGTAGTGTTATAGGATGGGGAAGCCTCTCCAAAGATGGCATTACCTCCTGCAGGTCTGCTTTCACACCACTGCAGTAAAGTATTTTAATAAAGCAAGTCAAGTTAATTTTTAGCTTTCCCAGTGCATATAAAAGTTATGTTTGCACTACACTGTTGTTCATCAAGTATGTCCACAGCATGATGTCTAAGAAAAAAAAGTACACGCTTCAGCTAAAAAATAATTCATTGCTAAAAATGTTAACTATCATCTGTGCCTTTGGCAAGTCATCATTTTTTGCCAGTGGAGGGTCTTGTAAAAGAATGCAGTATCTGTGAAACACAAAAAGTGAAGCACATCAAAATTAAGTATGCATGCACACCCCACTGTTTTTATAAATGGTGGGGGCTCTTTCAAACTTGAGAACTTTTCATGTCTATGGAGAAGGGAAATGTAGACTAGTGCTAATGAAAGAGGAAGAGGTCATTCACTTCTTAATAAATAGCTTAATTAAATGTAGTACAACAGTTTCTTATAGTAGGTAGAATCATATCAGTTATTTATCTTCTAACAGAAAACTTTAATTATTAAATGTGTTGAATCTTTGCTGTTGAATTTTTAATTTTGTTTGCAAATTAAAAATAGTGAAATATCATAGAGAAAGCAGTACCATTCAACATTCAGTCATCTGTAACAAAAATGCATTTGCTATTTCCATTTAAAATATAAAATATTTACCTTAACATCTGGTTGTTTGAAAAGGCTGTCGGTCAGGCATAAGAAGTGTAGAGAGGTCAAAAACAAGGATAACCCCCATGGGTGTAACAATCTACAGTTTCATCTTGTGGCATCTTTGTGCTTCTGAATGTGGAACATCTATAATACAAGTTAATGGGGTGGATCCCAGCGCGGGCTGAGCCACAGTCACCCTAGCAGTCAGGCCCGCTGGATGGCTTCTAGGCCACCTCCTATGGGGACGGTGCCTGCGGGGCTGAGGGGTGCCTGGAAAGAACTCTTCCTAAGGAAAGAGGAAGCTGAGGGGCAAAGGATGAATGCTCTCCTTGGGCAATGCAAATCCTTTTCTTCCTCAGTCCCCAAAGACTCACCTCCAAGGGGGAAAGAGTGGAATAATGCAAAAATAACAGAGTAACACAAACAAACAAAAAACTAGTGCAGTGGGACAGTGAGGGCACAAGACAGCAAGGGTGGATTTGGCAACATCTAACTGGCAGCATTAGCCATACTGGATAGGTTGGCAGTGCCGAGAGGTGACCGATGAAACTTTGAAAAAGGCATGAGTGGTGGTGTGACAGGCCTTTGTGAATTCATTGCCACAGGAAGCTGGAGACAGGGAGGAAGAAAAAGCGAGTGGCATGCAAGCATAAAAATACCCACTGGCCACTCCACAAGCTAGTGTGGGGAAAATGTAATGAGAGCTAAAGGCTCAAACGTATTTGGAGGGAAAGTGGAGACAATGAAGATAAATCTTGCTAGTGCGTCTTGGGGAAATTTAAGTCCAACTGAATTACAAAACTTATACATAAGCTTAAATGTACCAGAGGTTCTACCCAATGGAGAATGTTAAGATAAGTAAATGTTGCCGAAAGGACATAACAAGTCTTGACCTTGCTCTTCTGTGCTAACTATCAAGATGCAACGGAAATTTCGACTCTGTGGACATCTTTGGAGAATTAAACTGAAAATGATGAACTTTCACTCGAAGTCTTTTTCCTTTGTAGAGACCTTCCTTTAAGTCAATTCCTTAACCAGTTTTTACATATGATTAGTATTTTTCCCCTCATGTTTTGGTTTTATTTTTATATTTTCCATTTAATTTTTTAAAAAGTAATTTTGACTGAAGCTGCTTTATTTTACAGGCTTTCCAAGTAAAAGTATGATTTTTTTTCCTTTCTCCTTTCTAAGATCTTACGGAGATTTCCCACGACAGGAGATACCCTTTTTAATTTTAGCCACATTTGGCTTTCTCATTTCTTTAGCTAAAGGATTGTTGTGAGACTCATATTGTAATTATGTAAGTCCATTTAGTCAATGACAATACTTAAGGCTAATGTAAAGAAATAATCATTCTAATAACACCGATCATAATTATGATGACCTCTTTTTGATCAAATTCAATGTCTTCAGACTTTGTATCAAGTTGAATTTGACCTTCTTGGAGTGACCTTTCATGAGTACCCCTATTGTAAATTATACCATTTGATCTAACCCCCCTCATAAAACTCATCACAATTTTAGTTACTTGTTTTTGTTAGGATTTGCTTGTCTTCCTAAAGTATAAGCTCGATAAGGATGGGCCAGATTTTCCTTGTTTACTATGATATTCCCAACATCTAGTGCAGTGCCTAGCTCATGAGAAACACTCAATTTTTTTTTTTTGGATATTTATATGCATGCACAAATAGGTGCCTCTAGGAAAATATAGTCAAACGAGTCTATTTAGAGAATCTGACTTAAGTCCTTGAAATAAATTCACTTAATTTTGCTTGCAGAGGCATATATATGCACACAAAATCCACATGTATATCTCATTCTCATATGCACTATATTTAGATATCTATTTCCTAAGATACTTCCCAAATTGTTAAACATACATAAAGTATGCTCTTATGCAAACAATGAAATGTAATTATCAGCACACAGGCTTCATGAAGGAAATGTTAGGTATATAAAAACAATTTTAAGAATGTGGATTTCCCCTATATTTAACACAGAGGAATATGATAGCTCAATTGAATTAAGGTAGAATGAAAATCTAGTGAAGAAAAATGAGGTTCTAAATAAGAATAAAATCTTGACAATTTTTAGCTGTTTAATCACAACTATTTTATAAATGATTGAAATGCTCATATTCTAAATAGGAGCCATGATAGACTAAGAGGCAGAAGGGCTAGATTTTCTAGGTGCCAAATGGGGAAAAAATCCCAACTCTGATTTGTTTGCGGGGGTTGCGGTGAGGGCTGTGTTGAGAGGGATTCTGAGGGGGAGTGTGGGGTAGCAGGAAGGAGGAGCAAGTCTGATCAGCCAGGCCACTAGGGAGAGGGTGAAGAGGTAGCTTTACACAACTATTCTGGATTTGGTTTACTTTCTCTGCAACCACACCACCCCCCGCCCCCCACCTCCGCCTTTGTATTTTTATTTTTGTAAACAAATCAACTGAACACTGAGGCCCAGAGAGGTGATAAAATTTATCCTAGATCATACAATTAGGTTTTAGCAGCCACAACTAGGTTCCTATGCATCCAAATCTTAGTTCATTGCTCTTACAACTATACAATAAGGACTTCTTCATGTGACATGCTCTATTTCTAAAGTTGGAAAATAAAATGTGAAAATGGTGATAATTCAGGACCACCAGACAATTACGAAAATACTGTGCCTGATTAGAAATTGGCAAGTTTTTTTAATAGAAAGATCAATGAGATTATATATTAGAAAGGCTCTGGGATAGCTAGAAAGTGCCTGTGGTATTGTTATGCATCAATGAGTCAAGACACTTGACAGGGTTTAAAAGCAAATATATGTAAACGTTGGCTTAAAACCTAGCTTTAAATTAAAAAAATAAAAAAAAAACCTAGCTTTATAATAATTATACTTTATAATTTCAAATACATGCTTTAGGTTTATTCATTTTATGCTGCTTAGTAATTTATTGACAGGAGAGTAATTATTTGGCTGAACTTCATACAGTGTAATAATTTTGATTCTATTGCAAGAGTTATTTACAAGTCAGCATACAAGTAGAAAAATGATAAAAAATTGACTTTCACCTGTGTTTATGTGTCTCTCTGTAGTAATGTAAGGAGATTAAAGGCTCAACAACCACTCAAATGTGGCTATTAGGATAAATAAAGAAGAAAACTCCATCAATCAATGACATCTGAAAATCAGGAGCTATAAGGACAATGGGGACAGATTTCCCATAAAATAAATAAAAATTAGAAAATGGAGGCTGTGAGACAAAGGAAGTACAGGTAATTAGGATGAAGAGTATCTTTTTAATAACACTTTAAAGCGAAATACTTAACCATTTTAAGGTGACACATAGATATTACAAAGAAAGAGACTTAATAATCTAGACATCATCTTAAAATATTACATGTTATATATTTGAGGGAGAGAAATGGGCTAGATAACCTGCCCCCAAATTCTGTAATCATGGGCAGGAGGAGCATATTTGTAGCCTTTGGAATATATACCATGTAATGAAATGAAAAAAAAAAAAAAAGAGAATGAAATTAATATGCTAATAAAATCCAAGGAGAATGCTGAGATACAGAGGTTCTAGATAGACCAGGAACCTGAGTAATGTATTTTTAGGATGCAGAATTATAAGGTGTTAGAAATGCAAAGTGGCATCATGAATATATTTAGGTTACAGAAAAACACCTTCTCCTACTTTGCTTCTATGAATATTTTTTCTATGTTAATGTAGGAGATGAAAAAATAAAATAATCTTTTGTGTTTACGTACAAGTTTGCTGCTATTTGCTGGATTCTGGAGAGCACGAATGGTACTTGTAACCTAACTAATTTTTAAGTGCTTAGGTATACCTCACGGGAAGTGCAGTAGCTGATATAGAATTCCAAACACAGAGATGGATAAAGAAGACTCTATTTCCTTTTATAGATTCAAGGTAATGAGCATGAGGCAAGTCGGGGCCACATCAAGTGTGGGATGAAGCAATGATGAGTGTGACCTAGTTCTGGGGGATTCCATAAATGCCTGCACACAAGAGAAAATTGTAGCGGTAACCCTGGGAGCAGAAAATACCAGTCAGGATACATAAATGGAGAGACAGAAAAGGCAAAAGGTTGGTGTGGAGAGGCGAATGCATTCTAGGGACTGCAACAACTCTGGCCACCTGTCACCCAGCATTCCAGGGGCCTGGGTACCTGGGCACCAGATGTTTTTGACCCTTGTGACTGGACCATGTCTGAGGATCCAATGGATTTTTTTTTTTTTTTTTTTTTTTTTTATAGAGGCATGCTTTATTTATTATACATGCACTGGGTACAGTCAGTTACACTGCTTCTGCGCGCCATGACCTTGTGAGCAGCCGGGATCGAACTTCGTCAACCGCTGACCGGATCCAATGGATTTTTAGAAAATTAATGGGAAAGTATTATTTGGTCGCTAGCAATGTCCTTTATTCATAGTTTTCACCATGGGAATGGGAAAAAATAGTTTGCATATTCCATTACAGAAAGACTAGAATAAGTAAAATAATTGGCATTATCCTCTCTCTCACCAAAGAATATTACTGGGTCACAAAGGCCCATTTCTCAGTTTTGTAAAACTTTGATCATAAGCATCAATAAATGTGGCAGGTTTCTGTTTTCCTAGAGCCGCTACACTAGAGGCTCTCAGGTTTGTATGTATTTAGAAAGCTTGTTAAAAGTACAGCTTCCTGGGCTCTATTTCCAAAATTTCAGGCTCAGAAGTCCAGGATAGACCTCAAGAATATGCTTTTCAAACAAATGTTCTAGGTTTTTCTCATAGAGGTGGTCTGGGGATCACACTTTGAGAAACACTGTCCCAAAGTCCATGCTTTTCCACACTAAGGCATAGCAAATTGTGTCTACCAGGCTTAATGTTAGTTTAAGAAGCGAGTAGCTACTACACAATTCAGCCAGAGCTAAACGGTCAAAGCATGATGGGAGGACCTACCTTCTAACAAGTGTTCAGGGAAAATCCAAATAGAGTGCAAATTATCCACCCAGAAAAGCCCTCTCTCCACCTGGCCACACCCCAGGCTCTACCCCTGGAGACCACAGTTTCCTTAGGTACATCTGTGGTGTTAGGAAGCCCGCACCAGTGTTTTCCAGATGTTTACCTCTTTTGGTGACAGTATAGAAATATAATCTTCATAAATCATCCTGGCCTTTTCTTCAATTACTTTTTTGTTCTGCTCTTTCTTTAAATCTTCACAGGCGAGCCAGAAAAGGAGGTTCTCTTCACTGTATTCTGTTCGGAGGAATTCTCTGAAGAGATTTCTTCCTGCCGGGGCCTTCATCATCTTATCAAAATTTTGAGACCAGGACAAGACTTCGTCTGAAGTGGGGTTTTGGCTGTAGAGACAGAATGGGGCAATTAGCCAAAGTGACTTGAACCTGTCGGGCAGCTTGAAAATCTGTCCAGTTACTGCCACCTAGTGGTCACTGCCACCTAGCCTGGCTTGATCTGAGAAATAAATGCAGGACTAGGTTGGCTACTTCCAGGTCTTGGTGTTCTCAATGCAAAAGCTGAGTGTTTGGGAGCCACGTTTTCAGACACCAAAGGCCACGGGCACTATCTGTGTGGTCACCATAAATTCCTGATGAAGCTGGGAAACATTTGGACCTTAATAATATGGTATAAAGTGATAGGAATGATCTGTAAATAACTTAGAGGCAAACTGACTTTTTGTTTGCATCTGATGTAGATTTTAATTTTCAAGCCCTAAGGTACAGGTTCTCCTCTCATCTCTGGGAGCCAATTTTTCATTTGTCATTGGATCTAAAATAAGAATCATTGTGTGCACCTGTCACATAATCCCCGGTACTTCAAGGATTTTTCTATTAAGTGCTATCAATGAATTGTTATCCATGAAAGGAGCTATCACAGTTGAAAAGTACAGGGCCTTTAGAGTGACACTAAGGATTACAAAAACATCTATTTCCAGGTTTTCCTACAGGAAATACATTACTACTTTCTTTGCTTATCTCCCAAAGAAGTGGAGGCGTGAAGCTGGGAGGTTCTTATGGTTAAATTGATCCTGGTCATAGCTGCCCAGGTACTGGTCTGTTTAATAACTTTCCAACCTAAAATCCATTTGGTGAAAGACGTACCTATGCTTTATTTTTTCTTCCATTTTTGACTAAGTACTTGAATAGATTTGTAACTAGTTCAAAATGTCTGACCATCTTCATTCATCCACAAAATTTTAAAGATGGAAAAACTACTATGAAGCATACATATTAAAACCTCCCCACAAACAGAAAAAGAAAGCGCCTATAATTATATACATCATCTACATGTATTTTATTCTGTAATTGTTATCACTTGAACTTCATGCTTTGGAAGAAATATTTAGTTAGAGTCTGTTCTGATGGAGGTGGGATTGGTGCCATTTTTGACTGATTTAGGTAATTCCGTAACATTTTTGGTGTTAAACAGACCAATATGTGGGCAGTAGTTTTTCCATCTTTAAAATTTTGTGGATGAATGAAGATGGTCAGACATTTTGAACTAGTTACAAATCTATTTCAAGTACTTAGTCAAACATGGAAGAAAAAAAAGCTTTGACCAAATGAATTTTAGGTTGGAAAGTTATTAAACAGACCAATACCTGGGCAGCTATGACCAGGATCAATTTAACTGTCAGAACCTCTCAGCTTCTCTCCTTCACTTCTTTGGGAGATAAGCAAAGAAAGTAGATTTTAGATTCATCCCCTATAAATAAAACTTAAAAAAAAAAATCCAGAAAAGGAAGTATGAAATTAGGGCAAGTTGAAGGGCATTAGGTTTTAAAAGAGAAGGATAAAGTCAGGCAACCACTAAGCTGATAGCTTAACATAGTTAATAGAAAAATCAATAAGACCAATTGCCTTCGGAAAATAAGATCTCCCAGATTGAGTGGACATTCATTTCACAAGACCGTTTTGAGGCTTGCCAGGAAGCAAGAGATAAGACTTAAGCCCCGCCAGATGTAAACAATACACAAACACCAGACACAGCGACACCGAGTCACACTCACCACTCTTCTAGGACCTGGACGCTCTCCAACTTTGTGGTGTGTGCGGGTCTTCCTGCACTTTCTCCACTTTCTTCGTTCCTAACAGTGAGGCTGTAATGTAGCACAACGCTTTATTTTGTCTAGGGAAAACCCATTACTTAAAGAAACAATAATTCAAGACACATTTTACAGAATTGTTTTCTCAGCTATGTGAGGACATTTAAAGTACAGAAGGAGCAATCTCATCTTTAAGTCACGGCTAAGCTCAAGCCAACTAAGGGAGAGAGAATATTTAATACAATGTTAGAGGAAGTCAAAATCTCAAAAATGGCCACCATCCCGATTTCATACTTACGTCACGTGAATTACTTAGAATCTCTGAGATGTATAATGATATTCTTTAACATTTGATATAAATCATTGTCACCCTTAAGAGCATGGCAATCTGACTTTTGCCTAGTCCTAGGCATGATTTCTTGTTTATCTCCTCCCATTGATAGCCTGAGAAGATAAAAACGTATCCAAGTCTAAAGCATAATTTGCTAAATTCACACGAGCCTTCCCTGCAGACCAGGATTCCCTGTCACCAACACCATCATCCCCCAATGCACTCAAGTTCAAAATACTGCACGCATGTCTGTTCACTCCAGTTCGTCGACCTCAATGTCTCCACTTACTCGGGAGCTTTGGATAGGAGGGCATTCGGTGGGAGGCGTTTTTGACTCTGGGACATACATTTGAGAAATCTACAGGATTACAAGAGCCAGGATAATCCCATGGGCTGCTAGTAGCTCAGAACAAGAAGAAGAATTGCCCAGATCTGTGAACCGTGATGCTGCAGAACCTCACGGGGAAGCTCCCAAGACTGCAGGTGTAGTCCAGGAAGGACACGGGGCCCTGGCAGGAACTAAGAAGCAGTGTGGGGAGGATCACACCATGGCCTTGGAGAAGTCAAGCTACCTTATGAGCAAACTGACCCCTGGGTCTAGAAGCTGAGGAGTTTCACACGATCCTGTCAGAGAACAAAGTAATGGCTCTTTTATTTGTTCCTTCATTTATTCAACAAGAGTCCATGTGTCCTTGTTATGTGCCAGCACCTTTCTCTTACCTTTCATTTTATTACCCACATTTTATAGATGAGCAAAGTGCGGTACAGATCAGGTTGGCCCCAAGTCAGATGCCAAATATGTGGTACGACTGGAAATGAATCCAGCTCAGCCAAATGACCTTGTTATCTCTACTGAGCTCCTCCGGGGAACATGTTCTCTGACAGGTGCTGAGGAAATACACTGCTTACTACGTGGCTACAGAGGTCGGTTGCTAGATATGGCTGTGATGGAAAGAAAGGGCTTAGTGGAGGGGCTCCAACGAGTAGTTGTGCTTACTCTGGAGGATGAGTAAGGCAGCTGAGACATGTCTCTTTAATTCACTCATTCTCTGGAGCGAGGTAAGGATGGAGGGACTGTCACAAAGGGGAGAAGAGGGATCAATCTACAGCGAAAGTGAGACTATTCAGGGGAATTTAGTTGAGGAGGTGGACTACCTGCAGGAAAGAGAGGAGTTGGAAAGGATTTTTATCAGAAAAAGAACATTTCAATTAAAAAAAAATAGTGAAATAATCTAAGTTCTTCACCAAGTTCTAGGGAGAGTGGCAGGACAGATTGGTGGGTAAACCACACAGAAAAAAGAGTAAATCGCTCACAAAAGTGGTGAGGCCTGAAAAATCCAGGGGGGCAGATACTATAACCAATTGTTACAGAGACACCAGCAAACTGACTGCAGGGAGGTAGGGGTTCCCTGGTCTGAGCAGTCAAAACCTGGTATGGGGTGTAGACCTGGAGCAGACAGCAAGGCGGGGTTCAGAGAGAGCAGCACGTTTTCACGTCTCTGCGTGTGGGTTCTGTGAATGTGTATGCAGCTTTAGGAAACCTCGGTCCTCCTTGTTGCTGTATGTTTAGATCAGATACGTGTTTTAGAGGAGATTCATTAACTGCTCAAAGCAGCTCTAGGTAAGAGTGTATCTCTGGAATCCACTTTATCGCTAGTAGTTATGGAAAAGTGGGTGGGAGGAGGCAGGGATATATCACTGACAACATTCCATAAAATTTCCTGGGAGGAATGAATCATGCCAAATGCATACAATATTCAAATTTCTCTAAATTCTAGAAAGATCTTATTTAAATAGGAAATTGATACTTATTCTATCAAGCTTTACTGAGCTTACATGTATGCATGTATAATGTACTATAAAAAGAGTTTTCCCTGATTAAATAATTAACTCCTTGTGAAGCTTTCTCTGCTATGTTTCCATACATTGTACTACAAAGTGTGCTGTAAAAATGCAGATATACCTCATATTATGCAACTTCTTTGAAAAAAAAATTGTTCCCCATTGTCTCTTTGCCATAGAGAAACCAATCTGGAATCAACACGCATGATTCACAAGTTTTTGAACATGAATTCTGGCTCTTCTGTCTGTTTCTGTGATATCTACAAACATCCCAAATGCCACCATATTAGAGTGATCATTATGAAATATTTGGTTGTGTTTATAGCTTTCATGTCTACAGATGGTAAAATATGGACACACATTTGTACTAAAACTACTTGTAATAGACATTCAATAAATGCTTAACTGTTCCCTGTCTGCTCCATTTCTGGATCTAATATTGCACCCAACATAGCCCTGTAGAAAGAAAACGAACTTTAGCTACCGACAAGTGTCCTTGTAAGCAACCGTCCTTTAGGACTGGTCTTAAAGAAAGTGCTTTCACAGTTTCACTCACCCAGAGCCACAGATAATGCCATTTTAAGATGAAAAGAAACGGAGAAAATAGCTGGTACTAGACTGTTTGCCACCTAAGTCTTGGAAAAAACTATAATCTGCTCCTAATCTCACCTGGTCTTGCTCTACGTAACATAGTGTGTTTCTTTTTCTTTTTTTTTTCTTAGATTTATTCATTCATGCATACAAGAACCAGGGTACAGGCCAGATGCGCAGGAGGGTGAGAGGACTCACCAGAGAGAGAGAGTGGGGAGCAGAACAGGCAGACTGACAAAATACACTGCTGAGGGGAGCAACGGGGAGACAGGAGAGGTCTACGCGCCATGTGGGACCCTCGCCAGCCGGGATGGAACCAGTGCTGCAGAGGCTGCGGACAGCTTCACAGCGCGTCGCTCAACTGCCTGCGCCACCACGGGAGGCCCTTCTTTCTTTCTTTCTTTCTTTTTAAAGAAACCAATTAAAACACATGCAATTTGCAGCAACATGGATGGCGCTGGAAGGGATCATGCTCAGCGAAATAAGCCAAAAAGAAAAAGAAAAATACCGGATGGTCTCACTCATAGCAGGAATCTAGAAAACTTAAATAAGGGACCAGGAAAATGAATAACTATAAGAAAGTGAAAATCAAAATCAACAAAAAACTATGAACCAGAGACACTTTTAGGGGGGCGGGGGTGGGAGGGGAGGGATTGGGGTCAGAATGGGGGGGCTGCAATTGTATGGGGAATATAACAATAAAATTTATTAAAAAAAAAAAAAAAAAAAAAGAAACCAATTAAAGGAAATAGTTGCACATGGATATCATCTGTGCTTGAGGAAAGTAGAAAGGAAAACACCAAACTTAACAGTAAAAGGGATTCTGTGGAGACACACTATTTTCACTTTTAGGATGTCTGTATCATTTTTTTAAAAAGATTTATTTATTTATTTATACAAGCACTGGGTACAGTCGGAAGCGCGGGAGGGTGAGAGAATTCACCAGACCCAGAGCGGGGAACAGAACAGGCAGAAGGACCGAAGGACACTGCTGAGGGGAGCAGCGGGCACGGCAGGAGAGGTCTGTCGCGCCACATGGGACCCTCCTTCGGTGGCCGGGGAGCAGCCTGGGATCAAACCGGTGCTGCAGAGGCTGTGGGCAGCTTCACAGCCAAGCGCTCAACCACTGCGCCACCAGGGGAGGCCCTGTCTGTATCATTTTTAACTAACATTTCTACCTTTTAAGCAACTAAAGTCACAAGGAGAGCAGGAAGTGACCGCAGTGCTCACCGTGGCAGTCTCAATCAAAGCTTAAGCACTTTACAGAAGCCAGTAACCGAGGCCGACTGGACTAACAGCAGCTAAGTCATGGAAACAACCGAAATGTCCCAAAACAGATGACTGAGTCAAGGAGACCTGGTACATACACACAACGGAACGCTACTCCGCAATCCTGCAGCAGTCATGCAGCAATGCCACTGCAGCAACATGGATGGAGCTGGAAGGGATGATGCCCAGTGAAATAAGTCAGAAGGAAAATGAGTATCAGGTGATTTTACTTATATGAGGAATATGGGGCAACCAAACAAAGGATCAGGAAAGAGACCAAACTTGCAGGCTGACCATAGAGCTGAGGCACTCAGCAGGCGAGGAGGGGGGAGTCAAAACAGGAGAAGGAAGAGCACAAGGGACCGTGGTGACATCAAGGGCCCAGAGAGCCCCACTATCACTGCAAAGGCAGACTCCATTCAATATTTTAATATTATCAGTTTTTCCTTTTTATTTAACAGCTTCTACCTCCAATTCCCCATGGCAAAGATGGAATCAACTTCCCTCAGGTTTTGAAAAGAATTGGTAGGTTATTCTTGAAATGTTTCTTTTTCCTTTGTCAATTTATCACGGGAAAATATGATAGCTCTATTCAGAAGTCAACAATTTACAAATAGGTACGAGACACCTGCTTCAAGCAATGTTGCCTGGGTTGGAAATTCAAGATGAGTAAGACAGATGCTCTGAAAGGCAGCAGCGGCATGGAGCGTGGCGAGAGCCGAAACCCAGTGGTTCTTAGATACGGTGACGGCATCTACGCTTCTGCTTGAGGGGACTGAGGGAGGCTTCATGGAGGAGGTAATGATTGAGCTGTTTTGAGCAAATGAGCATGTGTTGGCCAGATGGAGACGCGGACAAAGGGAATTCCACGCCAAGGATGAAAACTATCAAGTGTAGAGGTTGGGAGCTGTAAAAAGGCCTGATACAATCACAGAACAAAGGGGCCAGATCGGGTGTTTCTGGATGTGGTCAGTACATGATACGAGGCGGAGAGGTGTAAGTCAGACAACGGGCCAAGAAA